ACTGGCCTGCCAAGCATGAGGTGTTTATTTGGTTTAACATTACTTTCGGGCTTGTGTCATGTGTATGTATGTAATCGTATGTTAAAATCTAGTACATTTTCTCAGAATTTGAGTCAAAGGAGCATTTTGTCAACCAGGTTTGAATATCTTACATACTTGTACATGTACATGTTACATCATGTGCATTTTGTACATGTACACCAGTTAAAACTTGTAGAAGAACTCTTTTGTTCCCCATTAATTAAGGCACAGTTTACGCTCCCCCCCCCCTTAAAAAATGAAGTACAAATTGTGATGTGGTGTTCAGTAAGTAGGTCCATTTCTATACTGGCATTGGAATTCTTAAATCTGTCCCAACACACATGACCTTGAGCACTGCTGTGTGCTAATACTTGCCCTTGACATGATCAGCATACAAAATGTATACATTGTAGTACATTATAGTTCCTACAGTCATGACAGTATTACCATTTGGTCTGCAGCATGCACTGCATACAATGTAGCTATTATAAGATGGAATTACAAAAATTCCATGTAAATATAATACCGGTATGCTACATCTTCCTACCGTATGTGTCTGCCCGGGGCCGAGTGAATATGTACACTTTGAATTCAAAACTAAATATTTAATTTAAATTTCTCCAATGTAAAATTCCATCCTACAAAATATTTAATGATTACGATTTGTTAATAGTTAGAGTGAACAGTCTATTCTCATTGGATGAGGACTCTAGGGGTTTGGAGGGCTGTGTACATGCATGTACTTCAGAGTGTATGGAGATTGGTTGTACATGCAGCAGAATTTGGACCTTATGTTTTCTAGATAATCCAGAATAATGTTGGTGCTTATCATCTTTCATTGGCTGTCATTGAAACTAAGTTAATTAAAGAGTATTAAAGCAGTGAAAAACAAATCTACTGTCTGAATACAGCCGAATATTTCTGGATCTGGATCGCACCGTTCTACATGTACATGTGCATACATGTACATGTATGCACATGTCGACCAACAAAGTCACTGGCGGGATGGTTGTAGATGAAGAAATGTAGAAGCACTTTACCACAGTTGAGCAAGGAATGCCTTCTTAACTGCCTTCAACTCCCTTGACCATGGATGCTCATCTCTGTTGCAACTACGGTAATTCATTTGGGAAAAGGCTGAAAATACATAAGCACATGTTACCTTTTCCTCCAAGAGGCATTGCATTGATTGTTTTGATTGTGTAGGCAATTTGAGATCTGTCTGCCGCAGTAATAACAGTGGCCTCTAACATGTCTGTGACTACCCGGCATTAACCTGGGGAAGAATGGTGAATGCAATGTATACAAAACACATTGGTTGAGAGTTAATTTCAAAAATGTAGAAAACCTCTTATGCATAATTATGTGAACATAAAAAGTTGAGTATGACCAGTTAACCCTAAGAAGGTGGGGGTTTTTTTTGGGGGGGGCGTTACATTCCGACCCCTTTATCTTGGAAATGCAACACATTTTCCTTTTTTAAATCTTGTAAAGTGGACTGCCATGGCTTTAATGTCTGGTGCATTCGTGGTCTGCAGGTAAAGTTTCCGCAGGTTGTGGGTTCGAGTCCAGCCTGGGGTAATGGTGTGTGTGCCCTTAGGCAAGGCACTTTGTCACTCATTGCTTCTCTCCACTCATGAGTAAATAGGTACCTGTGAGGGCAGAGGTGGTTATGGTGGTTTTTCTAGCTGCTTTGCGTAGGGCCAATGATTTTCCGCAATCCCGGAAAACGGAACGGTATTCACGGAGCCTGCTCCTCGAAACGGAAAACGGAGTTTGAATCTGAACAAAATAACTTACTTCTGTAATTTCATTCATAAAAAACATAATTTCATAAAATTTATTGAATACAAAATGAATAGTTGATGATTGATTGAACAGACGAGCCATATAACAAATGAGCGGTGTTTATATCACGCTTTTGGTGGGACAAAAACGTTCAAGATCAGAGCAAATCTTACGAGATCATTACCGTAGTAGTACGCGTAGTCATGGGAGTGACAGTCCCGACGCACGCCGTAGCTGTCGGCCAGTGCACGGTTGAAAATCATCACACTCACAACACGCTCTTGCGGGTCTCTTTTGCTCCATCGGTAGGTTTATTTTTCTCTGTGCAGTCAGTCAACCAATTGTATAACATCTAACTTTGGCTCTATAGAAATGCATGTCATGCTTAGGTCAAAAAATCTACCGTAAACTATCCTATTTTGCCGCTAACGTTAGCCCGAAAACGAAATGGCGTAGGCCTACATGAATTTCGCTTCGGCCAGTGATGTGTGTGACGTCATGGGATTGGCCTGTACGGCTATTGCATGTTTCTTGCGTGTGTGGCAGTGGCAGTGCAGTATACGACTTGACTGTGGCGAAGTTTAAATACTACGTCTGTACATTGATTGGCCGTTGATTAAAAAAAAGCAATCTTTTTGAGGGCAGTTTCCCGCGCTCCAACCAAACGACTTTTTCATTATCGTCTTGGAATTATTTTCTGTGTACATTGTATAATGCATTATATACATGTAAAATGCCAATTTTTGTATTGAATAAATGTGAAACGGAATTTTTCAGCCTGAAACGAAATTCAGGATTTTTGAAAACAGAATTTGCACTTTTCTGAAACTGAAAATCATTGGCCCTATTTGCGCCTAAAAAATGGCAACATCCAGCTGTACATGTACATGTATACTCCCCAGGGAGCTGAGATTGTCTTTGGAATGTTTCATTGGCCCAATGAGTAGGGTAATAATGATGTGGCACCTTGAGCACCAATACTGATGGATACATGTGCCTTATTATTATTTAAGACATTCATGCCTAGTTAATATGACATTTTTTTACTCAATTGGACAAATTGTTAGAAATTATGGTCATTAATATTTTACACTTCAATGACCCATGAAATGGGTGTCGAACTTTTGTAAGGCTTGGCATGAAAATAAACATTGCCCTACAACAGTTGGACCTTGGAAGTCAGTGTTAATAGACCTCAGTACCCCACTATGGAGTTAGAAATGTCACTAGAAAAGAAGAACAAAAGTAGGGAAGTAAAGGTCTTACAAACGTGGTACTTGTAACCTAGTGTTGTAGGTCTCAAGACCTGGTCTTGGTCTCGAGACCTTTTTTGTGGTCTCGGTCTCGGTCTCGGTCTCGGTCTATCAAAGTCTCGGTCTTGGGAGTGCTGGTCTCGGTCTCGGTCTCGGTCTCAGTCTCGGATGCCAAAGCCTAAGGTTTTACCCCCAAGCCCTGTCGAGACCTCAACAAAAAGTACCATTTACGTATGGCTTTATTCACTTGCAAGCTAATCTTTATTCCAAAGCTAAATGAATTTGTTTAAAGTGTACGTTTTCATGCTGAAGGAAAAGATGGAAGCTGGAATAAAGACCAGTCAATTCAGCTTGTCAATTCGGTACCTGTGCACAGCTATGTTGCCCATGTATTTCACTCCTACACATTGTACTGTCCTAGACATGACTACCAACGCTTACATGTAACATGTCCTTGTGCTTCATTTCTGACATTTAGGGAGTATTTGCTAGACTTTACATTCAACAATAAGCCTTCTGCAAGTAAAGTTTGACCTTTGTTTGCAGGAAGTTGTACACCGACTTTACCAAACTTGTTGGCTGCAATTTAGGCAGTAATTTATATTTTGAAACTGGAATTCGCCTGACTGACAACATGTTTTTCAGGCCAAGGTCTTGCATAGTTTGTTAGTTAAATTTACATAAAAAATCAATCAACATGGTAGCGGTATGAAAGTCGTCCAAAATATGTTTGAATTTTTTTCAACCTGCCAATAATATATTTGGAAATGTGAGATTTCTTTTGTTTTTTTCTTTATGCTTGGTCTTTGTCTTGGTCTCGGACGTCTTGGTCTCGGTCTCGGAAGTCCGGTCTTGGTCTTGAAAGAGCTGGTCTCGGTCTTGGTCTCGGTCTCGAATGCCTCAGTCTCGGTCTCGGTCTTGGTCATGGAGGTCTCGACTACAGCTGACTCATATATGTTAAAGACGACTTGAAAGTATCCCTATTCACATTGTTAGTGGAGATATTACATATGCATTTAAACAATGTTACTTTAATACTGTAAGCTGCACAAATACGGGATAAACCAAATCTAACTTCCCTTCCATCTGTTTTCTATGTAAATGTAAGTGGGCGAAGAGACTTCCTGTTTGTAGTTTGCTCATGTGCTGTACATGTACATACATGTAGTCACATTATTAATGAATGACATATTACGTGTAGTGGTGGGAGAAATCGGAGATTTCAAAATCAGGTTATCCTTTTTTTTTACAAACTGAACACCGGTTATCCGGTTTCACTGGAAATTCCCATTCAAACCACAATCATGCCAACAAAAAGTAGCGAGTGATATTTCTTGTGAACTTGTGGTTCATCTAATGGCCGTGGATAGTTTGTTGGATTCATGACAGCTGGGACTCCAGAGCTGTCATGTTAAAAGAATTGGGTAGGAACTCTCAGATCAGTCCAATGGGCTGGCTTTTCATGAACACAAGAGCACCGCTAATGGGTGAATGCGGTTACAATCAGAGAGCATGGAGCAAATTGGAGGACATTTCAGTTGCAGTTTTCAGCTAATTGTATCCAAAAAAAACCCGAAAGGTTTAATTTTTTGTAATGTTGGCTTTGAATATTTGGTTTGCAAACTTCAAACTGGATAATGGAATCCCACCACTAATTATGTGTCAGCATTCTCATGTACAAAAGGAGTTTTGTCTACGTAAAGCTTTGCAATGTAAAATGATATGCCCTGAAATCAACAGGTACCTGTAATAATTGTTCAAATATACTTAGCAGCTTGATTTATACACAGTGCACATGTGTACATTTGCAGAGATTTTTTGACGTACATTGTAAAAAAATATTTAGGGAAGTGATACACGTTTTTATGTTCTAAACATGCAGTGGTAACTTGATACAAAATCACTCAACTGTCTTGTTTGCCTTTTTTCTAACTGCAGAATTACGGCATGGCAAACCACCGGACAAACCACCGGACGTCCCTTGCCCGATGGAAATAATGCACTCGCCTCCCATCCGCATCCCAATCACTCCCAGAGCCCCCCTATGCCATCAGCCCCAGTCAAGTATCCCCCTCAGTGGATATGAGGACAGTCACCATACGCACAGTGAACTCTCTTTGCCATCGAGGGCGGCATCACAGCCGCAAGCGTCGGAGATGACCTTCGACACAGTACTTAATAAGCCATTGCCAGTTCATTTAGTGCAAAGACAGGAATCCCCCCACAATTACACAACGGGTAGAAGCGGGGATGATGCATCACCAGCAGTATCTGGAAAACTGAACTCACCGCTAGAAATACAGGTAACTTGCATGTTGATAGAAGTACATGAACAACTTGCTTTGCATTATTGATTGATGAAGAAGTAACTAATCCAAGCATTCCAGGAAGGTACTTGAAGCACTGTCAATAGTCTTAATCCAAGACTACATTCTTGAAATTATGTATGTATGAGTCCAATAACATGTGCTAGTATATTAGTCTGTGGAAATTGTGACTTTGAATTTAATGGAATACATAATTTGCATGAGGCGAGATTTGCACTGTTTATTGGGTCTTGTTGCATGTATACATGTATACAACGAATGTAAATACCAAATCACTACATGTGTTTTATTGTAGTTCACATTGAAAAGTTGCAAACCAGTTTCATCTTTTACTGAACTGACCAACATTTGTGCAAACAACTTTCAGGACCGTTTTGCAAATCTGGTGAGTCCCACCCTCCCAGTCGTCAGAATTGAAAAGATGTCACCCCAACAAGCCAACGATGCTGGCATGCAATCTCTGGGAATCTCACCGGTGTCATTGGCAAGCAGCCAACAGACTACAATTGAGTTGGTACCAGTGTCAAGCGGATCTCTCCAGTGTGCTCCCAATCTGGTCCCACAGCAGCAGTCGCAGACATTGGCCCAGCATCATCAGACAACCAAACCGGTTCCAACCGCTATGGTCCAGTTGGCACCGGGTCCCACCACAATGATGCAGACAGTGAAACCAGGCCTTGTCCAGCCACCACCAATCCAGCCAGCTCCTACCGGTTTGGTCAAGCTTGCTCCTGCTCAGCCTGTACCAAAACAAAGAAACAAAAAGCCGTCTCCAAAGAAGAATATATTGTGCAAAGGTAAACATTTTAGAACTGGATCAAGGTATTAGTTGCCATTGTCAAACAAAAAAGCAGCTTAGACACGTGAGGTAGAGACTTAAAAGTACTAACCTGATGAATCAGTGAAAAGTACTTAACAAGGGGTAAAGCTTCAAAAATCAGACGAGCCCAATTTTATGTCAAAAAGTGACCAACGAATAGCCCAAATATACTTCACTGAGATTTTGATTATTTGTTTGTATTGATATCACAATCACAAGCTACATGTAAGTTGTAACTTTTGCATGTGGTGTTGACTTTTAAATTGTCAAGCATTGTAGCAAGATAAGTACGGTATACTCATGTGGGAAAGCAGTAAGCTGGGTTTCCTATGTGTGTATTTTTACATACTGAAAAGCAATATTGCATGTGGCTGGATACCGGTACTTGTTGAAAACATTGAAATTAGGACAGTAGAAGGGAATGGAAACTGAGACAATTATGCAAAACAACAGGGATATTTGAACCTGTACCACATTGGTGGAAGAAGAGGTCAAGGTTCACTGTTTCTTTATTGTGATAGTTAGAGTTGATGCAAAAAACAGTCTTTGTTTGTCATTCCATCCCTTACTATAAACAAACTCTCCTTAACCCTAACTTCCCCAACTCCAACTTCCCCAACTCCATCAAAATCCACCCCCCCCCCCCCCCCATTCGGGCGGATTTTGGGGGACTTGATCCTGCAGGCATGATTTGACTAAATATTGGTGGAGTGTGATGGATTGGTCCTGGAGGCCTAAAGCAAAGCATGCATTGGAAGCAGTGTGATTGATGGATTTTGGTGGACTTGGTCCAGTACTTAGTAAAAGACAGAATGGAAGTTAGGGTTATTGAAGAAATACCTTTCTCATTTCAGATCGGGAGTTTGATGTGAACAAGCATTGTGGTGTATGGGTAGATGTCGACCAGAGACAGTGCACAAGGTCTCTCACCTGCAAGGTCAGCAAGTTATTTCTGCTCAGACTTGGCCAGACTTTTTAAAATCGCTGTATTAATTCACTTTTAATTTTTTTTTAAACGGTTCCATTTTGCTATCTTACAATACTTTCACGGTTGTCCAAATGATTACCCCAAAACTTTTCATTCATCAAAACAATTTATGGACTCGATGCACAAGTACCCCGCAAATGGAATCAGGTGGGAAACTTGAACACCAAGTGCTACCATACGCTTGGCACACTTGCTCAGTGTAATACATGTGTGAAGCAGTGAGCAGTTCACTGTTTCCTCGCACACTGTAACTCCTGTGAGTAGTCGCAAGTGCATTTACTATTTATGCACAGAATCTATAGGTTGGGATGGGTCGTGATGGTTGTACAGGTACCAGTCTGTACACTACTCATTGCCATTGTTCTATTGCTCATGTTTGGGCATAATTTGGCTCATCCATACAATTAAGGAAAGAATGATATTTCTGTAAGGACGTTACATGTATGTTTTGCATTCATGTAGTGCATGATGTACAGAGATATGAAAGGGACTTATAAGTTGAGTCTCACAGGTAGTCTTTTTATGGCACCTACCTTTTAATCTAGATTTTCTGTTTACCCCCAAACTGGAAATTTGACACAAAACTGGTATTGGCAATTTATAGGAACTGATTGAAAAGAGCTTCTTACCATGTTATACATGCAAATGTCATTGGAAATACCTGTTCCTTTTTTAACAGACTCATGCCTTATCACTACGGAGAGCTGTCAAAGGAAGACGGAAAACTTTCGATGAACTACTTGCTGAACACAAAGCCCGATCTCAGGCCCAGGCAGCTGCAAATAACCCATCTCTGCTCAAGAAATCTACTCAACAAGCAGCAGCATCATTAGCATCATCATCGGTATCCAGCCTAGCCCAACACAACGCCACCACGCCCCATGGCACAGCTAGACCCAGCACACCCAAGGCTACACAAAGCCGCCCCAACACGCCCAAAGCACTGACGCCCAAGGTCCTAACCCCTAGACCACAGCCAGTGGGTAATCTGCATGTGAAATCGGAAGCAAACAGCAAGCCATTGACTGTGTTCCAGAAGATCATGCCTGTACCTGGGCCTACCAAGACTTACAACTTCAACTTAGTTCTTCCGGCCAGGTAAGAGTGGCTAACAGTTTTTGCTGAGATTAGAAAATGAGTCCATAAGTGTTCTACCAGGAAATAAATCTGTCTACTGGTAGTTTCTACATGAACCATACAGGGTGAGTCAAATAAAAGGAAACCCAAATGATATGACCAATTTGTTAATGAAGTTCTGCATGTAGCACTTTCAAAATCTAGGATATGAAAGCCCAACTAATAAGTCTTCTTTAAGCAGAAGAATCATTCAAATCACTCATGTACTTTTTAAGTTACGGAATGTTAAACACAACCACTGTTTTAAAGATCTGTCCACGAATCACAAAAAAGGTAAGTGTCCTTTCGTCAAAACCAAAAAAAATTGACATGGGGATGCATATGAATTGTTTTTATTTTTGTCCTGACATTTGGGTTTCCTTTTTATGACTCACCATGTAGAGAAAGGAACACAGAAGCAGTTGCAACTTCAAAGACCCAGGCAACTTCTTGCCGCTGTATAACAAAACAATCAAGTGGTGAATGAAAAAGCAGCTACATGTACGTGATTTGATTCCCATATGTTCAGCACACAAAGCTGTATAAAAGCGGCCACAAACGTCTTGCAAGTCTCTGCAGTATAGTAAAGGTTTATTACTCTCAGCCTGTGGTCGTTGTGCTTTGGCCATGGGCATACAGGGAATGATTAGATTTTAATTGGCTAGCTAATATTGCCTGGGAAGTTCAAATTCCTGTATTCCTTTCTCTATGTTCAAATGATGCCCTCCTATTTGACATCAACATTCTGCATGTGATGCTGACAGACATGATAACTGTAATTCAAATATTCAATTTCAATGCAGTTGGAGTATTGTTTAGAGAATTTCATACATGTCTTAGTTGACTGTTCCCAATAACAGACCGTTTTTTCAAAGATCATTGCCCGTTTTGACCTAGGATAGGCAAATGGATTGATCACAAGAAAGTTGCTACTAAAGACATGCTCAAACTCTAGAGGCCTCTGCATGTCCTAGACATTGTGAATATTTTTGTCGGTTTTCCAAGAAAATGTTTTCTGTTTGACACCTGAATCCTGAGTAAATTGATGCACACATCACAAGAATCATCAATACTGTTCATATGTGCATAAAGTTAATGTTACTGTTTGTCAAAGTAGAAAAAGCCACCATCCTCCGACAGTGCTGGACCCTGTACCTATGGAGGCAACCGTTAACGAGTGTAAAACACATCCACAAGAGGGTGGAAGTACCAACAGCAGTAACAGCCATGGCAAACCTTCCGAGGGAGATAAGACAACGAAAGAAGACAAGGAGAAATGCGATTACTCCTGCTCCCATCACCATCCCAGACCAGTTGCAGTAAGTGCAACAGTCCTAGTTAGCTTTTTAATAAGCCACCTCAGTTGCCCTGATAAATAGATAAATAAATGAATTGTAGTGCTTATATAGCGCTTTCCATTGTATCAACAATCTCAAAGCGCTTTACAAATATTCCCCGTTCATCAGGCCATAGTACCACGCAGCAGCCGATATCAGTGCACATTCGGGCCTCTACCCTCGCAGGTACCCATTTTATTTATACTCCTGGGTGCAGAGAGGCAATTGTAGTAAATTGTCTTGCTTAAGGGCACAATCACCATGTTCTTGGCAAGGTTTGAACCCACTTGCCATCGTACATTAATCAAACTCCCTAACCACTGGACCATGATACCAACTACATGTACATGGAATTTCTTAATGTTACCTGTGTTCTGAATTTTATTGGACAGAGCAAGAAAAAAAGGTCATTTTTGATGTTCAAAAATAGGTTTTTAAGATATTGTCAGAATAAAGATGTTTTCCTTTATAATTGTTTCAAATCGACTTTCCTTTGCAGAATTATGCCTGTTTAGTTTGTGATGTCACAAAGTTGAAAACAGAACAAGTTTGGGAGAGGCATTTCTTGAACCAAAACACTACAAATCGTCCAGAAAATCACCTTGAGAGGCAAATGTACCATCTGGAACATTTAAAATATATTTTGGACATATTTAGAATCACAAATTTGCCAATCTTAAAATAATCTGAAAATCTAAAAAAAAAATAATAATAATCCAGCTGAGTACAGAAGTGTTTGATTGTGACAGAAAATGCCACATTTGTTCTTGCCGTTGAATTCAGCAGTATCTATTTGATTTGCTATACATGATTTGTTTTAGACCAACTAGCTGTGTGAAATGTGTCTTTTGTTTGGCCTTCAGAATCAGATGTAGATGGAAAAATGGTTCCTGCTCAATTCTGTAGTTTTGTTCCTCGTTAATATGATGAGTGAAGAATGAGGGACTGCAGAAAAGAACACTTGTTTGTTGTCAGTTTATTGATTTCTGAAGAGGCTCTTTTTTTCTCTATCCAAGATGTGTTCCTTTGGTGCACGGCAAGTTGGTAAGGGCCTTTACGCCTTCAATCGGAGATTAGATCATCTAAGATCCACCATGGCTGCCTTAGTGGAGAAACACTCCAGACCACCTCCATTCAAGTAGGTCAACAACATTGCAAATGTTCTTATTGTTATTTTTAAAATCTTTTTCATCGTATATTAATTTCTGGTAAGAAACCAAGGATTCGTCATGGAAACGTAGCTCACAACCTGACTTCCTGGACCACTGCTGCAACCTGTACAGGTGTGCTGAAGGAAGTTCAATAGTGCATTGAATTTCTGGTTGTAGTATTTTCCAAATACAGCGAAATCTCGATAAGTCAAAACCGGTTAACTGGAAAACCCGTTTAACTCGAAGTAAGAACTTATTCCTGTCAAAAGAATAGCACATCATGTATAAACATGCCCGCACTTACTCGAAATTTCGGACCGGAAGAAGCATGCCCAGTTCTGCGTAAAAAGATCGCGAAACTTTTGTCATTATTGCCGAATGCTCTTTGTTTTTTCACGTCGGGAATGCAGCATACATGTTGTCATTGTGATTGACTCCAACCCTAAATGCAACAAATCCTGGCTCTCAAGCCTAATTGCTAACACTTGCCTAAATGCAGCCAGCACGCCAATTGCTGGCTCGTTGCGGAGGCCACATGACCGCAGCAGCTTGCAAAATAGCATGCCCTCTATCGATCAAATAGGACTGGTCATGTGACTGGACATTGGAAAAACCCCGAGCGAATTGCGATCGCTAGAGACTAGACATCGACAAACGACACAAACTAAAGATTTGCTACACGAAGTTACACAGTTTGAGTGGTTTATTGTTGTGTTTATCGATACAGCAGACACTTAAGGTAAGAATATAACATCTGAGCAAAATGATAAGTGGGATTGAAAAACTACACCATTAAAATCAATAACAAGAAGAAGAGTGATGCAAATAACGTGTCAGGTATAGCAAGTTACGGTGAAAGCCATTCCTGTACATATACATATGCATAATTTGGGAACTTTGGAGAACTTTTGGGAAAAATTTAAGGATTTGTTTTAGAAACCACATTTGTGCATTGGTGCTGTGTATAGTGGTGGGAAATTGTTTAGCCTTGGCGGAAGTGTACACTCTCTGAGTGCTTTCTAGTTGTAAAAAGTTTAATTCTCTAACTCTTTTAGGAAAATCTGCTTATCAAGTGATTCATCTCAAGAATTGACAACCCCTATGGATACTACTCCTCCGTCCCATGCCTCTGAGCTTCAAAGCAACAATTCTGCATCTCACTCTGCTGCCTCCACAAGTGCATTCACTCTGTCAAGTGCTTCACCATTTGATAACACTCCTAGTGGGAGTAGGAACCCTGCTACAACATGTAGCAGCAGCAGTAGTGGAACTATTGCACTCAGTAAAACCAAGAGCTTGCCTAATGCCATGTGTAACAACTTCAACAAGGGGCTTGCCACAGGCAAGAAACTGAGTGGGAAAACGTCAGGGAAAACTCTGAGTAAATCTGCTGACGGTAAGGTGTCTTCATCCCTCCAGCATCCGATCAAGAACTCCAAGGCCCGTAGGAAAAGCGGAGGTGGCGGTGGCAAAAGCAATGCAGGTCTGAGTGGCAATGTTGCACAGAATTTGTTTTCAGTCTCCAATGCCAGCCCGGTAACATTAGCAGGCTCAAGTAGCTATTCCATTGTGACTAACAGCGGACTGCAACCGGGAGATATCCTCAGCAGTGGCATGGTTAACTTGGATCCTGCCTCTATCGCTAATCAGGAATTGTCAGGGAACCTTCTGAAAAACCTACGCTTTGTGGTGACCAACATTGAACCCAGTGTGAATGGTGGTGCTGTCGGTAATGCGGCAACCCCTCAAACCACTGGCAACTTCACTGTTCCCATACTGAATGCAACGCTTGGAAATACTCCAGTATTACTAGGGAACCTTGGTGCCCTAGCGCTGCCCTATGACCGGAAATTGAACGTGAAATCTCGAACAAAGAGTGCTGGCTCAGGCAAATCCTCAGTGGAAAGGCAAGGGCGACGCCTGTCCGGCAGCAATACAACAGCCAGTCTGCAGAATGTAGCAATACTTAGTCAGCCTTTTATTGACAGTTCATCCCAGGATACAGTAGGGACTGGTGCAGGAGTATCTGGTAGTGAGAGAGGAACCACACTCAATACCTGTCAACCATTACAGAGTCCACAGTCTGTACCTAGCCCTCAACTCAGACCGGTAAGGAACTATTGGACCGTTATCTTCACCAACCATACTAAATCCAACAGTATCCAGTTTACGATTGTTCTGTTTTAAACAGTAACAAAGACCTTTACAGCGCATCCCACAATACCATTATACCATAATACTAATATACCAGTTTAAAGATCAGAATTGAACTTTATCCCTGGCGAGTATTGGTTTGATATTTAAAAGAGTTCTAAAATTATTTGTATTCAAATGAAGGCATGTCGAAAACAAACTCAACCGATTTTAAGGAAAATTGATGATGTGGTACATCAGATGCAAACTCGAGTCACACTTTGAGTGCACTTTGTGAATAGTTACATACCGGTACTTGCACATGAATTTCAAAAGTGAAGCGAAGAACAATATTGTGGATTCATTTAATGTGTGGTCTACGTGGATTGAAAAGAACAGGAAACACAGAAAGTAAAACTTGGCAACCAGATCATCACATCATGATGAACCATTTCCACATTAGAAAAAATGCGCATGATTGATTTTCCTTGAAATAGGTTGAGTTTGTTTTTGACATGCCTTTATTTGAACAGGAATCATTTCAAAAGCCTTTCCAAAATCAAACCAATACTTACCAAGAAGATTCCAAGCTTTAGAATGATTTAAAAATAATGGTGCATTGTATGTGTTTCCGTGAAAATTGTGCGGGTATTTTGGGACGCACTGTAGATGTACATGTAGCTTTTGAATCATGTTGGATTCAGCCTCCTACAGTCTTTAGTGTTGTTGAATTTGTCGGATGTAGCAATGTCATTTGCTGAAACTTACTGATAATTGGCAACCTCTGTGTGGGGTGCATAGTGCATACAAACACTCATGTGCCTTGTAAACCACAGATCACAATGAACCTGACTGCAAGTCTGGCAGTCTAGGAACAAAACAAGTAATCAAATTAGGTTTTGCCCTTCACCGACGTTTAAACACTGTATACTCAGTGTGTTACCTCCCGAGTGAAAGTTGGAAAAAATCACTCGAGTGGGACTCGAACCCACGACCTCCTGCTTTCTAGTGCAGATGTCTTACCACTCGACCACCGAGCTAACGGGATCGGTTGGCTGGTTCACACACTGAGTATACAGTGTTTAAATGTTGGTGAAGGGCAAAACCTAATTTGATTTATATCACCCCGACGCAAAATTCCATCTTATAATAGTTTATGCGATACCCGCTGCTATGTACATCAGATTCAAACCAGCCAACCGATCCCGTTAGCTCAGTGGTCGAGTGGTAAGACATCTGCACTAGAAAGCAGGAGGTCATGGGTTTGAGTCCCACCCGAGTGATTTTTTCCCAACTTTCACTCGGGAGGTAACACACTGAGTATACAGTGTTTATACATGTACATGTACGTCGGTGAAGGGAATCGGTGAATCCCTGTATCATGACTAAGCCGTTGTTACTGCTCTTTATGGGCTTTTTTTTATTTGTACCATCTTGATTCATCCTTGACAGAACTCAGCCAGTCCTCAGCTGACCTCGCCGCTCCCCAATGGCATCATTCCCTCTCCAACCAATATCACATTCAAGCCGTATACGAGTACCTCCATAGGTACCACAACGGCAGCATCAGCCAATCACGTGCAACGAGGGATGAGTCCCAGTAGAACCAGTACACCCTCACCGAGTACGGGGTCTGCAGACGCATCCCCTAATGTAACCGCCCAACTGCTAACAGGCTCATTTAATACAAGTGGTAAGAAGTCCTTGTTTTTCACCATTAAACTTCTGCATGAAACTGCATACAGAGGGGGGAAATGTGCTAATAGATTGTGATCTCTGCAAGGATGTTTACATTATGGTCAAGCAAAATTAATTCCTTGATGCTGATTAGTCTCTAAGCATATCTCATTCTTTTGGGTAATATAATTTCAATATGCGAGGGCCGATTTTCCATAAATTGGCAGGAATGTTGGTCAGCCGGTACTATATAATATGATGTAATTTGGTTGTACTGCAAACCACAAGAGGGGGCTTTAGTGCATTTCTAGTCGTATTTTGGGCATAATTTCTACCTTTTTCATTCAAATACTTTTAGATTTGGTGCAAACAGGTTTTGGGTCATTATCCCTCAAATTAAATAAATTGGTGTCCAACGCCACCGCTGGGGGCAACATTACCAGTTTTTATGATTTTGTCCCAAAATTTGCATTTATTTAACCAAAGGAGGCAATAATGAATTACTTATGGTGATTTTATAAATGCTTTGCATTTTTGCATGCAAGAACTGGGAAAAAATTACCCATAAACAATGAAAATTGTGCAGAAAAGGTGAAAATTAAAAACAGCTTTTTACTCTAATGGTTGCCATATTGAATTTTCAAATTGCGTTAACCATCCATTTTTGTCTAAAGTGGATACTTGATAGGTTCAGGCGAAGAAAAAATGGTTTTGACTCACAAAAAATGCGTATTTACACAGTTTTATTTTAAAAAATCACCAAATTGTCTGATTACATGTACTTGTGTTTTTAAATAGGTAGCCATGGTAACCATTGACATCCTACACAATTGATTTTAGTGTCATATTGACCCTGGATTAAAGTTAGGAAAAACGACCAAATTTCCTGCCAATCGGCCAAAGCATTCCAGAGCTGTTATACCATAAGAAGTTTCACAGGGGGGTCCTGATAGGGTTAAGCACATTTCAATAGAGCTACACAAATTCTAGATGCTTTCCTCATCCTACACAGTTTCATAGAGCATGAGTGTAAGGCCAAAAAAAAAAATAAGTCGGTCTCTGGTCAGTGCGTGCGTCGATTTTAATCATGCGCGTCGATCTTTTTTTTTTCAAAAATGTTCCGCGGTAGCTCCAATAGCGCCCTCTATTTCCGCACCTCCTCAATTTTTTTTTACCAAAGAGCACCAAGGAATGGGAAATTGCACCAAGGCAAATGATCAAAAGCACCAAGGCAAATTATGGAGGACACCAATGTACATGAGGACACCAAAAAAGCAAAATAGTACCCACCTTGTCTGTGCAATCCAAGCTTGAAGAAAAAAAAAAAAAAAGCCGCGTGGCCGTGTCAATTCCGGAACTGTGGTCTGACCAGAGACCAAATTTTTTTTTTTTGGCCTAATAGCAGTTCTGTGTTGTTGTCATGTACGTGCACAAAGGCAAACTTTTTACTGGTTTCTACTTAACACTTATGGATTAACTAGTTCAAACAATTTTTGATGAAAGGTTTTATAGGAAATATTGAAAATAGTTTTATTTTTTAAACTTATGTCTATTTGCAATCCCAGGAGGTAAATTTTATCATTTTTCAAGACTATGACTTGTGGCTTAAGTAAGTTGACTAGAAGTTAAGTGTTTAAATTTCCTGAAACGTATTTAAGGAATATTTTTTAATTGATCACTTAGCATAACGTGTTGGTTTTTTTTTATCAGTTTTCTGAGTAAGGTGTTTGATAGTTTAAGTAACATAAATATACATGTGCTTCCCCATCAGAAAATTTGCTGTTAAGCAACTTGATTCATTTAGTGAGTATCAAGCTTAACATGTTTTGTTTTGTTGGTGTTTGATATCACGCAGGTAAACTTACTCTAGTCTCACCAAAAGGCAGCTCACACAACCTTCAGAAATCCACCTTGAACCAAAAACACAGCCACCATCAACACCATCCCCATCGGACCGTGTCACAGCTCTCCAACCAGCAGCAACAGCAGCAGCTTCAACAACAACAACAACAACAGCAGCAGCAGCAGCAACAAGCGCTACAGTTTCATCAGCTGCAACTTACACCCCAGCAAATTCAACAGCAACTTCAGCAACAGATTTCTAATCTCGTAGCAATGGATCCTCAGGGCAAACCGTTGCCGCTGAGTAGCGCCTTGATTCCTAACCTCTTCCAGAGCATTCCTACCCAGCAAGTGGGCACAGGGGTCCTGCCAGGGGGTCTGACGCTAGCCCCTGCTGTAGCTACAGAGCAAGGGGGTAAAGTGCTGTCACAGTCTACCGTCCTGCCACAGAGGGCCATTGCCTTACACCTACAGCAGCCAGGATCAGGCCAGCCAATCAGATTACAAGGTGCCGGACTATCTGACCAATCACAGATTGGTATGAGTCAGGATGAAGATAACAGACAGGAAATCAAGATGCAGCACTGAAAGCCAATCGGAGCCCGGCAAACAGATGGTGCCTGTGTGGATTGGCTACTTGGATGAGGGTATTTTGTGAATAAATTATTTTTGCCACATTGTATTTAAATGAATGGAATCAGGGAACAAAAGTAATATATTTAGTCGTTTATACTTAGATGTCTCATGACATCAGATGATAAGGCTTTATATTATTTTTATAATGAATTGCAATTAATATAATAATAATTGTGATTGTTTCATGCAGATATTGATACTCAAAGAACAAAGTCTAATACCTTTACAAACCTGAAGGCATAATAGTCCAATACAATTATTCACTTGGTCAATTTATAGAAATAAGAATTTTATACCCTTAAAACTATTCCCTAGTCTATGATCCCTGAAAAAAATAATGTAAGCTCCAGCTGTTGGGATCTGGCTGTGGTGACCCACCAAACTAGCATTTGGGCTTGTTTTTTGGTAAAAGACAATTTGTAAATCGCGACGAAATACTTTGCACTTGCATTTTGCATTATAACGTTGGTTTCACCACATATTGATGAATAGGCTAGATTCCACGGATCATAAAGCACAGTTGTAGTTGAGTCTGAGTCTCGAGTCATTTGGTTCAAGTCTTGAGTCTGAGTCACGAGTCACGAGTGCATGGACATGGCTACACATACACATACATGTGAGCAATACATAAGTGATGCGCTGTCGTGGGACATAGGGAGGGGAGCTTTTCAAAACAAACATGAATATTAGCAGCATGACCTGGAGGCTAGGGCTGTATGGTTTGTGTGCTTAACGTTCTTTAGTGTGGCTTTATCGAAAATAAACACCAGAATAATTACAATATTTGTAACTTTTTCAAGCAGCCGTTCCATTTTTTTCAAGCAGACCCAGTTCGTTTTTTTTTTAAGGAGACCCTGTGGCATCCCTGTATCCATAAACAAACCCATAAGCCCTATATGTGTTAACTTGCCGATTTATTCCACATAAAGATAACCCTCTGCAAACAGAAATATTGTTTATTCTTTGAGTATCAGTCATGTGCAAAGTTTCCTTTATTGAAAACTGTTTGATAATGAATTATATTTCAAAATGGAGATTTGTGCACTCTTAAATGTAAGCATTTTATATCTCAGCATCGAAACTAGTGTTTGTTGTCATTGTATGAATGAATTGTTACAATAATTAAATCATGGTGACAGACAAGTGATCTGTTACACTGCTCTTACTGGATGCATGCAGAATGGATGGGAGTTGGAGTATTGGCAGCCGTGATGTTTACTGAGATTTGTCTGTACTGGATGTGTGTGAAATCTACGCAATGAGAATGGTCAAAGGATGTCAATTAAAAGGGATAGTAAATTATGCCAACTGCATATGTACACATCAAAATTGGACAATTTTCACTTTAAGATAAGCACCGCGTCATGTACTTGCATGCATGCAGGCCACAGAGAACACCAGTAAAATGGAAGTGAGGTTGCAGTTCTGAAGTGAGTAATAAGACTCAATCTTTTGCTCCATCTTACTCGCACATTTTATATCAGCCCATTTTTTGATTGCATACAAAACTTACTGATTGTAGACTCGGTTTCAGTGGCATCCATAGACTTGTATACGTTTATCTGTGTGTTGATGAAGTGAATATGATCAAATCTTGATGTGGACATCCACAGTTTGAATACCCACATGGCATGTTGGAAAACTGTTTTTTCCTTCCTTGTTTTCCTTCTTTTTCCCCCTTTAATCTCTGTACTAATCTTTGACTTTTAACATAGTGGGATGAGATCATCCCATTTTTTAAAAGAAACGCTGCGCAGCTCTCTTTGATTTTAATACATTTTTGATAAAAGATCCACTATTCAGAAATAGTTAAGTACATTACCTTACCTATTGAAAGAGTGTCATTGCATGGTAATGATCGTGCCTGCGTGACTTCAATTATTGGATAACATCAGTATTCTGTTAGAATGACCTTGTAGCTTTACCTTGCCAACTTGTGTTTTTTTCATTTTCTGACAAAATTGTGTTTATTGAACCTTTGAATTCTGTGAACAGTTAATGTAATTACCAACAGGCAGATTTGCATCTGGGGGCTTCAACTGTAGGTCCATAAGTCAGCTGAATGAGTCCTTATAAATCAATGTGTCCTCAGTTGAAGGTATAAGTCCTCAGTTGAAGGTATTTGTCCTCAGTTGTATGGATCCTTAAGTCCTCATTCATAAATTAAGAAGTCAAGTCGCCAACAATGTTGCAATGATTGAATTGACACAATTCTGTGTTTCTAGCTTGCCACGGTTATGAAGTTATTTCAGTCATGACATTGTAGAAACTTTCAAATAAAAAAATAGGGTAACTTTTTTGACTAAAATACTTTATTTAAACTTCCAAACTTCTCAGATTGCAAATACTGTACAGAATATAATTTGACGTTAAGTATGTGCATTTAAATACCACATCCTAGGCCCATGCACATGTTTGAGTTACTGAATGAGTCAAAGTGTTTATGCAAGTCTATCTTATGCCAACTCATCTTGATTGTGTTGGACCTTCCTTTAGTCTAGGGTAATGGTCCATATGTTACTGGACTATGAATGTATATCATCTTGTTAACTTATTTGAATTTAAACATGGTAAATTCCGTAACCATCTGAGTGGTAGATAATGTTTCATATGCTTTACCCGTGGATTTGTAAATTCAGCTGGTGTTTTTTTTTTTTTTTTTTAAATTGATTGGATAATTAGGCCATACCCATAGCACATGATTACTGATTGGCTGAAATTCTATTTTCATAAAATGTTGCAGCTAAATGCGAAACAAACATCATTTACAAGAAACCACATTGTTAGCTTGCCCTTGTATATTTTCTTCTGTTTACAATGGCCCTGCCGCATTGAGGCAAAACAACGGCTGAAGATAACAGGGTTGGGGTCCTACTTCTACTTGGAGGATTATTGAGGTTATTAGAAGGCATGTATTGAGAAAACATCAAAATGAATGCAACAAAATGCAGTATCTGTAGTTGTTGGAGATTCAAGGAAAGAGCCTAGTTTACATGTGATTGGCCTGACAGTAAGCTGGTTTACTCAGCATACAGGCTGGTGTGGATTGGCTTAAGGAGTCTGTGCAGAAGTACCCCCTCAAGGGTTACAAGGGGAGAGTTGGGGAGATCACTGGGAGGGACATTCAAACGCATTGATGCTCATGCCGCATGATGCTCATGCAAAGATGCTGTGGGTTTGTGCACGATCAGAATAAAATGATTCATGCGTACATTGCACCATGTCATCAGCGCTCACATGCAATGTGTCCCTCCAACAGGGGGTCTCAGAAAATGGTCACAAAGCGCTATCATACCTCCTGTGACATCAGTAGTGTACAGATGATTCTCAAAAGCAGCACAAGACAAAGACTTAGTCTCTCCCATCTCAAGCTGAGGAAGGGATAACCATCACTTTGACTAGTTCAACTTCTTCTTTTTCGTCTCTGTCTTTCACATAGGTTGATTCTCAGTAAGTCAAGGAACCACAGTAGCACAAATCTGAATGGCTCTTCTTAATTACACTGCGAGGGAGATATGTTAGTTCTCTTTTGTGAGAGAGCAGGTTATTGTTCATGTGCTTTACTACATATTTTTAATATATGCTTCTGTCATACTTTTACCCAGTTGAATTTTTGACTGATACACAAGTCTAAAAGTATAACTATAAAGAGTGTTTATTTTAAATTGTGTGTCATTCCAGTCAGTTGCTTGTATTAATAAACTAGGATTGTTCCCTTCAGTGATGAAAGGTAGGCACATCAAAAAGCATATGCGAACAATAAGAGCATGACGGGAACCCTTGACCTTCTGCTGAAAGCTTGCTGGTGTTTCCATCGCCATGTAGTAGTGGGTATTACAATCAATGACATGTCCAAAATTGTGTTCTCTATCAAGTTCTTATAAAGACTCAATTTGTCATTCTAGATGATCCAGTGATATTTGAATAATTTTAATAACTATTTATAGCATGGTGCATTAGTATTTATAGATAAAACAATTTAACAGTTCATGTGAATGAGCAGTGAATTTTGTAAATTATTAGCAGAATGAAATAAGTATTTATCTCAAAGTCCTTGATTCAAAGGAAAGCATCATAGTCTCAATGGCTTTGATTTGAAACCCCAAAACAAATTTGGTTTGTTGTGTATTCACTTCCAAAGGAAATGAGTATCCTCAAGTTCATATCGATAACGAAATATCAACTGATGACTAGAAACGGACATTTCATTGGAGTTGTCAGATAATTTCCTCTGCCTGAATGATAGTACTCCTGGATCACACAATGTGCTTTGAAGGTTCTTCATAGTACATAATCCCAATACACAAATAGATACATCTTTAAGGGTTCCAACATCTGTTTATTGTTTAGGTGCCAGCATATCCACAGTTTCTTTCGGAAAAACAGGATATCAATTGATTCAACAAAAAAAAACACTTTGAACTTCTTTCAGCTAATCTAAACACCGGATGCTAATGGGGATAGATCAATCAATCATTTAAGCCAATAAGTTGAAATGACTGTTTGTAATGTTACCGCCCTATTGAGGGGTTTGAATGAATGTGATGAGGACTATAAATATCAAGAATGTCGTTGCATCCATGTCAAAATTGTACGTTTTCTTTCATCTATAAAGTGGCATGGATATATGTGTACTCTGTAATTGTTGTTTTTCCAAGTTTTTTTTCCATACACTGAATACTTTGCTGTTATTTATACAGATTCTATTTCATATTCGGTGTAATAATTGATAACCAAGATAGATTGTAATATCTAAATGAGATATTACTATGTTCAGAAACCACCTGGTTTATCAGTGTGACCCTTCCCAGTACATCAACGGATTACACTGCAAGAACAACCATTTTGGTATTGTGCATGATTGGCCCATTGCCAACCACATAAACCTTTCCAAATTGTTGCAATTCATTTAGCTACGGCACCTCATTGACATGCAGAACGAGTTTCATCGGAAGCCATTTTGTTTAACAATTTAAAATATCTCTTACACATGTATCTTGTTGCACGATATTGTACAGCTCACACCAAACCAGTTATTCTCAACATAGGTGGTTTCCCGAGCATGTTTTCTTAATTTACAACTCCGAAAGTTCCCATTCAATAACCGAAGTTATTAACTCTCTTTAGGGTAGTACTTGTATTGGAGTCTATATATAGTATTCCAGTCACTTTACGCACTTTCATTTATGAAGTCCCTTTGTCAGATGTTTGTGTTTCAAAATTGCAGCAGAGTGTCATTTAGCTATCAGTTGAGCTCACTGTTCTTCAGCTAATATAGGCTGAAGTAGAAAGATTCATGCTTATACCACATGTCAACATACACACTTAGGTACTTCCCCCAAAGAAAAGTTTGCAGGTCCTGCGTATACACAAATGCCATATGAATGTTTCAATTCAAACCATCGGTATAGTTATTAATTAAACCCAAACGTATTTTTGAAGTAACAATTTCATGTTTTAAGTTTATCATACGTGTTTTCAGAAGTATTTTTGGAGTACAAACCACACCGATTTGAGAAAGTTAAAAGAGTTTTTGAAATACTGTATAAGCATTGCAATGTGTTTAATTCTTTAATTAATTTTAATTTTTAGCATTGATGTAGTCTGAGATTCCAGAAATACTGCGTGGAGTGTTGTAAGTTAATGTCTCGTGTATATGACTGGAGAGGAAAACAAAATGGCACGAATTAATTTTGTGTAATATGAAAATATGTATATGCCAAATGAATAAAACATATTATTGTACAGTTGAATAGCAATAGGCTACTGTTTTCTATATTTTTTTTCTGGGGAAAGAATATCACATTTCCAGTATGTTACATTTTAAAATCTAGTAGCATTGACAAGAAATGCATAAACTATTAATAAAAAAAACAATACTTATTGTTATTAATTCTTAATATCAAATAAACATATTTTCTAATGTATTCGTGTTGAAATGTATTGTAAATATTTTGACATATTTTTGCCATACGTCGAACAGACAAGTTTATGTCCTTAAATGTGTGTTCTGTATGGGAGTTGAGCATTGGACTGTTTTTCATACTTTTTCAGTTATTTATTTTTCTATGAGGTATATTGACATTCATGTGTTCTCTCCCATATGTATTATCAATAGATTCCTCAGTACAAATTGAATGGCAGCCTGTTGTGTTTCTTCCATTTCTCCAGTGAACCAGTCTGACTAGTACCAAGCCTAGCCCGGCCCTTACACAGTTTTTACGTCCAACATGCATTGATAGATCGGGGCGGGCTGACGTCATGCGATGAAACATCTTTTCATCATTGCATACCAGTTTTCATCGGTTGCTATGTGTTACCATTCAGCACTCCAGGCTTAAGAACCATTGAGTTTCAAGAACATAGGTCAGGGAGCTAGATAAGCCAATGGCAACAACAAAAATCCCGGGTGTCCGCGCTCACCTATACTTCAAGTCCCTCTTTGCAGATTTTGATAATGAAAATAATGCGCACTCAAGAACGTCTAGTCACTGCGTGCTGCATAAACACTGAACAGTCTGCCCTTCAACTTTAAAAAAAATCCAATAAAGGACAAGTCTTAGAATAGAACATAATGGTATAGACAGCATATCCTCTTTACAGAAAGGTAGTACCGCTCTACACCGTTTGCATTTGTTGGCATTTTATTACATGGACTGAAGCAGGGGCTTGTCCCTTTTGTCTCAAATTTGTTTTGTTTAAATCAAAATCAGCAAATGCTTTGTTTTGTTTAATGCTAGAATTACAAAAAAAAACACCAGACAATTTTGTAAAAAGGTGGAAATTATAGGCTTTTTGCGCAATGGCGGCCATATTGGATTTCCAGCATGTATTGTAGTTGGTCACATGACCACGAATTTTAGTCTAATTGAATATCTTATAGGTTCAAAGTTAAAATGTTTTAGACGAGCATATTTCCTCGGTTATTTGATATAAAATGGCCAAACTTTGACTCCCGATAAAAGTTAGAATAAGTCGTCAAATGTCATGTCTATCGGCCGAAGCATTTTAGAGCTATTACGTAAAATGTATTGTGCCCCAGCCCGGTCCTGATATGATAGGGTTAAGTCTTTTGGAATCGACTTTGTACGGTTTCAATATTAACCCCTCGACTAAGTTGCATCTTCCTACTATCATAGGTGTTGTAACTCACATACGACAGAATGCGGCCATCCTAGGTGTGGACGTATTTTTGTACTGCACCCCGTTACGCCATTCTTGAGGAACATTCAATCCCCCCCCCCCCCTCCTGAATGTGTTTTGTTGGCTCGTTTATACGGTGCAAAATCAGTAGCTGTTTACTGTAAAACAATGAACGCACACTGCCTCGATGATTGTTTGGCATACGAAATAATCACACGACTAAAATACGAACTTTCCCACGCCCCACTTATTCATTGCCCGCACCTTCCACATAGGCCTCCTTAACACCACCACAAAAATTAAACGAAGCAAACGCTGACATCCGTGTACTTTGTGGCGATCGAATTTTATTTCAATTTTACACCTGAATTAATTGCAATTTGCCAAAAAATTGAAAATATCCCACTATTGTAAGGAAAAACGACAACCCCGAAAAAAGGGGAATACGGATTTTCCTTTAGAACCAGTTGGGTTGAAATACTCCTCATACGTCGGTTTCAATGGTCGATGCTGCCCATAAATTTCCTGCGTGGTTTTGTGACTGTTTTTTTTTTATCCGCCCGGGGAACAAAATTAATTCCCCTTCCCTACCTGCATCATCAGCAGCTGAAATGACCCATGAAATAGCTTTGTTTTTGTGCGATGCAGTCTTTACCTTTATTTTAAAGAAATACAATGTAATACTTTTTCTTTTTGGGGCATCAGCAACCCTCTGCAGAAAAGTTTTTTTATTTTGGATTGCTTTTGGGCACAAATATTATGCGCCTAAAGGTTGCAGACCAGTAAATAAACTGCCATAGACCCAAATGATAAATTCCCCCATGCACTTCAGAAATTCAGGAAAAATACTCACAACTCTCCAAGGTGTTCGAGACACACATCAAATGAAAGCTTATTTCATCATCTTTCATTTTCTTATCAATTTTTTGGGGTTAACTGAAATTAGTAGAAATTTCCATCCGAAGATGATCACCCCTTAAAATAGTCCTGAAGCCCATCGCCATTTTGAAAAACGATGCCTACACTCCATTGCAAAATAGAGCGCTTTAAGGGCCCCGATTTCGTCCAAATTGCACAGAACTACAAGTATAAAGCTCGCAGTCCTGTGCACGGCTTCCACCCATATTTTTTTTTTACAAACCCTCAAGTTTATGGCCCACAATCGGGCATGCAAATCGTGATTTGGCCGGCGTAGGCAATTTTGGACCGATTATACTGGCCTGCAACCCTATGGACAGACCTGGTCCCTAGATTATCGATTAGGAACCAGTCTACCTTCAAGACCTTGCGCCGCAAGACATTAAAAGCTCTGAAAACAAGAGGTCGGAATAATCTACGGGGTACCAACCCGGTGCATGCAGGACGCAGAGACCGAGAGAATACCCAAGGCTTGTTGCATTGCAGGGATATCGATATGCTCAGCAGCAAAATAGAAGGTGAGGTTCTGTCGCGGACAACAGAACTGCCTGTTTCTAGTGTTTCAATGTTGATTCAGTATTGACAACCAGTCGATGGGCAAACATGTACATTATGTTTTCAGTGAGCTGCAGCGGCGGCGGAACGCTTTTCACTAAGGGGCATCACCAAAAAGGAGCACTTGCTCAGAAAAAAGGCACCTTCCGTCGGTGTTAAAGAGGAGAACATTGTGAGCAAGGGCGGATCCGGGGGGGGGGGGCCAAAGAGGGCCATGGGCCCCCCCCCCCCAAAAAAAAAAACGAAACCAATTTTTTTTTTTCGAGGGGCAGTTTTCCATCTTAATCGCGAGAGAGGGGTGTTTGTGCTTTCGAGGGATAGTTTCCAGTCACGAGAGAAGGTTTACAATCTTGCTAATGCGTGAGGGGTATTTGTGTTTTCAGGGGCACGTTTGCATTACAAGAGAGGAGACCATTTCTAAGCGTTATCATAATGCTTTCATGACAAGTGTGCGATTGAGGGGCAGGTTTTTTTTTCATCTCGAGGGGGCACATACTTTTTGTTGGCCTGGGACAATCTGGGGGGGGGGGGGGCAACCCCCGGTTCCGCTGCCCCTAAATGTTTGGGACTATCATGCCTCAAGTGACAACACGGCGCCTTTATGGTTCATTTGAAAATCTTCACTCGTCCTTTGGATAACGCGCTGGTAACCGTAGGCCTATATACATCATGTAAGTAATCTCTTTCATACAGAACCAAGAAACGCAGACATTTACAAAGCATTATGAGCAGGGTAAGTCACTTGCCATGTACAATCGTGCAAATAGTAGGTCGTTCGCACGCGGAAACGTTGACCCCGGTCAATGGCAATAACAAAATGTATACAATGAACGAAAGTTTAAATGTTAAAAAAGTGCACTTAAAAATAGAACCCAAACATTAATGCGATGAACGTCCACTTAAAGCGGCGTACAAAATAACCACCCCTTTCTTCAACCCGCATGGGCAGCTGGGAAGATGGAGATCTAGGCCTATGTATCCATTCTAGAGTCCCCATCTACTATGTAAAGGGTTACTCTGGTTGATTTTGTGCCGCATCTTTAATGGATTGAGTATTTTCCAATTTGGAGTTGGCGTGCCGTAGTTTTGGTTAAACTCCGGCGGTTTCTGGTCGGCCATCTTCTTGCGCATGAGGTTGAAAGTGGTTCGTACGTTTTCTTCTTTGTCCTTCAACATCCTCTCGCGGTTGGAGCCCTTGAGAGGTCGCCGAACGGACAGGAAGCTGCTGGATTCGGCCAGACTACCCTTGGAAGAATCTGTGGTAGTTTTCCCATGGTCAAGTCCATGGAGAAACTCCGATGGGTTGGGAGATGGTGGACGTACTACTCCACGGCGACTCCATGAGCGTGGACTACCAGCAGGCATGAAGAGTGGTGACACAGTCGACTTGGCACCCACAGTGCGGTAATAGTCATCGATGGTATAATCATCATCATCAGAGTGGTCCGTCTTGCGATATGCCTTGTTGTGAAAAATACAGTCTGGTTCCTTGCATTCCGGTTGATTGGTAGCGAGTGGGGATGACACTGGGGGTGCTTTCAGTAAGTTATTTTTCTCCATAATGCCGGCGCCTATGGTGACACCGATGCCACCTAAAGCATCTCTTTTGTCCTCCTCTTCGTCAAAATGAAATGATACCTCTTTCTTTAGCGATCCATTCGTCTTTGCCATGTCATGAGCATTAACCTTTAATTCTGCCCTTCGCTCACCGCCCTCCCTTTTGTTGTTTTTCTGACTTTGTCTCTTTCTTCCATCTCCACGTGCATTTTGCAGTTGCTTTGAACGCGGTGTCCGTTGATGCGCGCGTCGTGGGGCGCCTTTGTTGACGTCATGTCTTCTTGGCCAATCAGTTCCAGAAGGGAAACTTTTCTGCGTATGCGTCGCTGTAATGCCGTCGTCGTTTGGCGTTGATGACTGCAGACTCTCAATGCTGACACTCCTCGCGAGACTTGTTACCGATACTGGTGAAGTAGACCTTGGCTTCATCTCATATTTTCCCGGCAAGAACACGTGATATTCATCTTTACTCCGGTACTCTGCGACCGAACTGGATCCCCTATCATCCTCTGCTTTTGATGTCTTCAAGGATGTCTTATGGTGCCGCGGAGAACTTTGGACTTGTTTGCATGACTTCCTGGGAGTCTTTTTATTCACTCGCGTGCTCTTGGTGTGCGGCGAAACTGCGTGGTCACTCTCCCTACGCATCATGAAGGCGTACAAGTCAAAATTACTGGAGCCTCTGCGTATAGAAGGGCGAGGCCCTCTCATGAAATGATCAGGCAATATCGAAGACAAGTCACTATCTGCTAATGTGCTCCTTGAGCTATTGCCTCGTCTAGAAACCCGTCGCTCCCGAGCAAGCTCACGCTCATTAGCCAAATTTTCTAAGATCTGTTCCTGTTCAGACATCTCCTTGTCAATCTGAAGCAGTCTCTTGATCTTTAAGTCATCCAGACTCTTAAAGAACTTGCTGAGCTGTCGCTCGTCCAATTTCTGGGCGCGAACTGAGTGTTGCACGGTCTGTTTGTGGCTGGTCACTTTGATATCGGAATGGTCCTTTTGTTTCGGCCTTGGTGCCGGTGATGCTCGGTGCTTGAGGCAAGGGCCTCCATTTGTGAGACCGGGACGGATTGCCATCTTTGATGCACTTCTCAATCCTATGACAACTTCCAAATACTGTCTTCAAGTTGCTCTTGATTTTATCCGAGTTCGCAGGGCAAAAGTCAATCGTTTCTCTGCTGTAGTCACATTTACAGTGCAAGTGATCTTGAAGCGTCACAATCAACAACGGTCCCAGTTCACCTGCCCAAATTAAAGAACACTGAGAATTATTTCACTATCTGGATCAACGTATCGTCACATGCTGTATATTCACTGGGATTATGAGGTCTTACAAATGCAGGTTTCTGAATAGTTTTAGCAATGTATGTAACAGGTAATACCCAGAATTTCGTTAAACCTAACAAAACCAAACATTTAATACTTTTTGTCTAACTCAAAACCGTGGGCACATCTTGCTCAAATTACGACCGATCAGTACAGAAATTCCATAGCAATCCAGCCCGTAGGCCTACTTTTGTTTGACCCAAAACAGTGATAATGTGTACAAAATTGTGCAATTTGTGACAAATGATACCGAAAAAAGGTGCACCTTTGTACACGTGCAAGGTGAGTGTGAACCACAACTTGCACGTATACAAAAGTGCAACTGTTTTCGGTATCATTTGTCATAAATTGTATAAATTCGTACACATAATCACTGTTTTGGGCCAAATAAAATGTATGGCTGGATTGCTAATGAATTTCTGTACTGATTAGTCGTTATTTGAGCGAGAGGTGCTCAGTAGTTTTTGAGTTAGACAAAAAAGGATAGAAGGGGGGGACTTTCTTTTTTGGTCGAGTGTATAAGATCGAAGCAAGGCTGCCCGTGCGCAATGCTCAGTTGCACAAGTACGAACCGTTGCTGACTGCACCTAGTATTTTGTTATCCCTCAATCCTCGTAATTTACTCGTCCACTAAAGTTTCAGCTTAAACTAAAATCTGGGGATCAGATGCATGATGGGGGGGGGGGGGGGGGGGGGTTAGGTGGTTAAGATTTCAACTCGACCGATTGAGCAGAAGCATTAAGCAACAGCGTTCTTCGGCTTGAAAACTTCGTGCAGAAGCATCAACTTTCGCTCTTTATAACACCATTGATCACACTAAGTAGATTTTGTTATTGACTGAATAGAGAGAAAGTATCTTTTCACAAAGGAATAGCGCCCGACAAAGCGGATGAGCCTTGCTGGCCCAATGGTGCGCTTCAAGACGGATATACGTTTGTGGATAAGCTGATTAAGGTTGGGATTATCACGGGGAAAGTGTAACCGCGTAATGTTTACCGTTATAGTTACATAGAAACCTTTGCTTGTGTTCTCTGAGAAATATCGGTGTCTGGAAAAGAGAGGCGTACATGGAATTCTCTGTCGGAAGGTATCACGTAGAAATTCCAAATAAAGTCAAATCACAGCATCGTTCAAAACAAATCAGTCCTGGGTCATCAGTAATGCCGCTTTGCGAAACAGCATTTTCGATTTGTTTGTCAATTCATTAAAGTCTTTTTCGATACTCATAAAAAAATAATGGTTGTAGTAAACTCTACACTACACTTTATTTTAGGGTAGTTTGCAGCATTTCGTTCCGAAGTCATACGAAGTTGGTGATATTTTATGATATCGCAGTGACATAATGACTGTTATCATGGTCACTACACATTTTTTTATTTGACATCTGAGATTGTCAAGTGTTGACAAGGGGCTCCAACAACGGCATTATCAGTGCTCTGATAGCTTTCATTCCGGTGGGCATTCGAGAGTTGCCCAGTAACAATTACACCCTATTCCCACGCAGGTTGACGTCTGTCAGTGATTTACCGAAGAACTGGACTACAAACCACGGGACTCAACGGTCGGTATTGTTTGCTGAGAGCCGTGACCCATTTCATTATGCACAGCACAGGTGCAACAGGTAAACAATGTTGGAAATCCAATCTCTGTAAATGCCATCAATATCCACAAATTAACAATATCTGTGAGTTTCTTTGATGAATTGTTTCATAATTCCGCTTGGTGTTAAAAGTCACAGGTGATAAATCTTCAACCTGAATTTCTTGCATGCATGCAGGACCGACGAGAATAATGTGCACGCGTAATCAGACTTTCTGCGTTTTTTGTGTTGCTTCAAATTTGATTTTCATTTTTTAAAAAGGTTTCTTTGGATTCTTTTATTTTTGTTGTGACTTCATGATGTAAGTTGATAGGACAATATACACTACACAAAGAACACAGGAAAATGGTATGAGTTAGTAAGTGACTATAGCTAACAGTAACACGGTGCAAAGGAGAATAAACCAAGGGCGGATCCAGAACACAATTTTGGGGGGGCCAAAAAAAAATTTGGTCCCCCCCCAAAAAGTGGGTCTCAAAAATTACGGCGTGGGGTTCGGGGCCCGTGAGGGCCCCGAAAATTTTTTGGATTCTAGATGCTCTGTGGTGCGATCTGAGGCAATTTCTGACCACTTTAACCAATTTTTTTGGAGGAAAAGATGGTGGTGTACTCATTGCCTGCCTTTATTGCGATGTCACATTAAAAAAAAAAAAAATTGGTTTCGTTTTGGGGGGGGGGGGCCATGGCCCCCTTTGGCCCCCCCCCCCTGGATCCGCCCTTGGAATAAACCGGGGAAAAAAAACGTATTTCGCCATTTTCAAAACTCTGTTTCGATTCTCCGTCTTACACATAGGTTCTAGGATTGGTGACATGAGTGAGTAGGAGGTCAGACTAGACAGTTTCGCTCATTTAAGATCAGTGTTTAAATATGTCGCAAGTGTTGCTGGATTCAGAGCCTAGGGCCTAGTAGGCTCTTTGTACCGATATGTCACTGACTGACTGACTGTCACTTGTGACTTTAGGACTATCTAGACCCCTTAAGCCCAAATTGGTCTGGAACCACCAATAAGCTCGCCTGTATTCTTTTGTTTTAATACTTTTAATCAAAATTCAATTACTTACATGTAAAAGCTGGTAAGGTCTCTGGTAAGCTTCCCTGTCCAGAACAAAAAGTTTACTCGATTTTGTTCACTGCGGTGTCATGATCGCTACACTCACGAACGAGTAGGCGCTTGCCGTGTCCAGGACGTTCAGAAAAGTGGTGTCAAGTTTTGGCATTGTACATGCGACCCAATACAATGATTTCTCTGCCAAAATGTTATCTGAAAATCGTGATCAAGGCCTTGATAATATGTAAATATGAGGTAATGCCGGCTGCCATGGAGTAATTCATATCGGGCATGTCTCTGCCATAGAAGTGATGCTAGATCGTACAAGCATGCCGTGCGTCGCGTTTACAGTCACTGGTGGGTATCATACGCCGTGGTCGCATTACTAGAGGCCAGATGATGAGGCCACGCACAATCATTGTTCGTCACCAAGGCGATGGCCCCTCCCAACTTAAAGGGGGACACGAGGTACCATTTCCGACCCTGATACTATGCCGTACATTCAGTGAATGTTTTAACGCGATAGTATTGCGTTAATAATATTACCATGTTCACTTTTATTTACTCATTTCAAAAGTTCAAATAAGTTAAATACAATTATGAAAATGAATAGGGCTGTTGCAAACTGCTTTCTGACAGGATTGACTTGAATATACAAATCTAAAACTAATGCGGCCTGACGTTGCGAACTTAAGTTCTTATTTGCCTCTGAAGAAGAACTTGTTAAGTTCGGAACGTCAGGCAGCATTATTTTTTTTAGATTTAAATGCAATTGTGCAAAGAAAATAGTTAACATAAGAGGTTGTTTTAAAATACATCAAATTATTATTTTTTTACACTCATCTTTACTCCATGTAAACGCGAAATCCGGCATTGCATGGTCCAAAATTAATATTATCTGCGGATTAAAAACTCCCATTGTCGCTTGTTTGCAGTAATTTGGCTGAAATAATCTTGAACTTTGGCTTGAGTGGGGTCCAATTTGAGTGGGGTGTGAACCCGGGGGTTCATTTTGTGGAGAGGGGTATTCGATGGGTTTTAAACTTTTTTGCCTTCCTCTATTATTAATAATTATTTCTGGTAATGAAACAAAGAGTTACCCAAAAGCAGGATAAGCACTGTAGCTCGCAAGCCTGAAGAAAAACAAACGTAGAGAGAAGACAATAATTTTTTGTACACATTTAGAGGTGGGAGGAAGACCCCACAAGAATATTCTGAGGAAAACCTAAGGAATCAGGCAGGGACTGACAAAAGCAATCCACATACTGGCTCAGGGGGGATTCGAACCAGGGCAAAAGCCGTGGAAGGCGAGGAAAGTACCGCTGCGGATAGGGGCCGGCACGGGGAGACGCACATGTCTTGAGTGAGGGCAGAACCGCAGCCTTAGTTACGCCATACGCCACTTGACCAAAACATCAAAGTGGAGATAACCATTACATTCAGTTATCAAAGCATATTTCAATTATTTCGTTTTGCTTATTTTGTTCGAGTCTCGCGTTCCCCTTTAAAACACCCAAGAACTTTTCATTTTGGTAGATTTCATCAATTATAAATGAGCTGTATCCAATTATAAAGACACACACCCGTCTTTGCAGAATAACACATGAGCCCCACAAATCGATACCTATTGAAGAGTTCAGTTTGCCCTTCGGTGCGGGACAATAGTGGTCCATCTGATCGATACAAAATGTTTATCGACACACACATGCGATCTGCTTTGGCGTGACTTCTGTTTCGCGACTACTCATAGTCCAGATAAACCGAATGGGAACACACAACATGCAGACTGCTCTTTCATTTAAAAGGATGTTCCCTTTTCAGCTTGTACAGTTTTGTTTGATGTCTTATGTACATGTTGATGTCTTGTTAACTATTATCGTTACTGACTGGCCATAGGGGTCTTTCATTATGTGTGAAAAGGAGCACAAAACGATTTGTCCACTGACTACATCGCGGGGCGCGGGGGAGGCTAGGGCAAGGGAAAGGAAAACAACACAGTTGTTAAAGCCATTTCATAGGTAAACAGAAGAGCCCGCCCAACGGTGTTGTTAACCGAAGTGGTTTTTGTGTGCTTGTTTGTCTTGACATGCCAATACTAATTCAGCGAGTTTGCTTCAAACACTTCTTGTCAGAATCCCTCCCCGCTTCATCACCATGCGCTGAAATTACAAATGGAAGCAGCAATCTTGTAAGTCCGTGTAACGTGGCTGGGAGGAAATGGCGGCAAACAGTAAAACGTGCATAGGCAAGTCTGAAAAACATGGGGTCCAACTTGACTTATTGAACTTAACCAGGACATTTTAAGCGAGAGAGGCTCATTTTTTTGAGAGGCTCTTTAATGGTTTAAACAATTAAAAATAGTTCATGTTTGCCTTCCTCAAATTTTGAGGGGGGGGGGGGGGGTTGCACGGGTCTTATGCCGGGGGTGGGGGATGTTTCACCCAATGCCTCTGACGGGGCACGCCCCCACCCTCCCCCTGCTCAATGTCTTTACCCCCATCCGCCGATTAAAACCAAGGAAGATATTTCCAGAATGACCATGATTCTATGCTTCCGAGTACTTTTTAGTTCCACCAGCATAAACTTTGAAAGGAAAACTGCAGATTGCAACTTTGCTTTTCGAAGGACCACTTAGACTACTTAGACCAAATTCAGAAAAACAAAATGACATGAATTCGAACCTTGTATAATATCTCGTTAATTATTTCTTTTTGCCCCACCCTCACATTATGAAATGTGTTCCTGCCTCAAAAGAGAAAGTTTGTCCAAACAAAAATGTTGCAATATGCCATTCTTAAGTCACATTTTTCATTCACTGCTAACAATGTGTGAATGACTGGCATTTGGGGCTGACGCCCCGTCCACATAATTGGTCAGGACCAGGGGCGGATCCAGGATTTTCAAAAAGGGGGGCACAAAAACTTTGTGCGCGTTGCACACATAACGAGACTGAAGCGCGAAATCCCTTGCGGGCAGGGTTGAGGGCACTGGAAGCTCTACGATTTTAGATGTTCTCTCCTACATCATGAGTACTTTAAGCCATTAAGAGCAAAATTCACAATGTTTATTTTTTACTTTTAATAACACTATTTTTGCCTATCAAATATAGAATTTAAAGTCACTGTTGATGTAAGTTGAAAATGAACCCCAAAATTAGAAGGTGCTGATGACAGCCCCCGGGTGAAAAAAATGAACGTGTTATTTTGCGAGCGAGCGGAGCGAGCGAGCCAAAACAAGTCATGTTTACTATTAAAACATACATTTCCACCCAGAAATTTGCCTTGCAAACAAAGAAAATAAAATAAATTGAATTTCATTAGGGGACAGCCTGCCCCAAGCAGCCCCTACCCCCACCCCACCCCACGGCTGAGCAAATCAACCGGCCCAGAAAATTTCTCCGTCCCAATTCCTTTGAAAAATGTTGTATAACTTATAAGCCTGCTGAGTATTTCATTACGAATAGTCTTTACAAACAAAAAGAAGAAATAAAACTTTATTTCAAAACCATCTCGATTGTCATAAAAAAAAATTGATATTAGCAAAATTTCCCCGTAGCGTTTATATGTTTAGTCAAGACTTCAAAAAGACTGCCGCCTGTGTCCCAGTATAATGTGAGGTAACTGCGGTCACATATATACTTACTTTGTATATACACTTGTATACACTTTAACCACCATTTTTTTCCATGTTCTTTTGAAGTCTGCAGGCTAAATAATTTAAGACGAAATGAATCGTCTGCATTCTGCAAGTGTTGTCGAATCACTTCAAGAAATGTCAAGGCCTGAGGAAAATCGTTTATTTGTATTTTTTTTGGGGGGGGGGCTCCGATTTTCTTTAATAGAAAACAAAAAAACAACCTTTAATTTAACGGAAATGCAAACTGCATCAAAATTCCAAATTCCAAAATATGAAAAAGTTTGTCTGCACAAATTTCCCGAAAGTGGCAGCATTCCTGAGCTGTTATCAAAGGCCTTAAAGTTCGGTGGCCTACATACAGCTGAACCCAAATGTATATATGCTTTGTAACGAACAAGAGTGGCATTGTATCAATTTGAACAATGCGGCTATCAATCATTCTCTGGAAAGGCTTTTCGGAGCTGAGATTTTATTGGGCATTTTTTTTTCTCAGAGACAGGGGAAACCTTTATGCGAAAAATGTGGGAAACTGAATTGAACGTGAAATTTCACCTCCGTGTTGTGTACATGCACATAGATAAACGATTGGGGGATGATATTCCAAGTCCAAATAATTCATTAAATGTAGGGCTCCCGATGTCTTTTTTCGTAGTACGATTTTATTCTTCGCTTATTTAAAAAATAAAACTGCATGGCCTACATTATTTTTGTAAATGTTACTCTAAAATATTTCGGAATACATTTTGAAATTAAGTTTGAAGTCAAAGGGCTGTTGATAATCTTATTCGTATTCCTTTTAAAATTAGGAAAAACTAAGCATAGTTCGTATTAAAATTTCCCCTGGAATCTACAAAAGAATTAACTGAGAGTTCAGAACTTAATGGGCTAGGGTTTTGAAATCGTTTTACTTTAAAAATAAATCGAGAGAACAAGACATACTAAGTCGTATTAAAATAACCCCTATTTATTTGATGTCTCTCGATTTGAGGCAAAAGGGATGACGATTAATTCTTCGTGTATCTAAAAAATAAAATGCATGGCCTACATTATTTTGTGAAAATGTTTTACTCTAGAATATATTTTGGAATATATTTTGACGCTATTATTTGAGGGATGTTGTTAATCCTGATCATATTCATTTAAAAATAAGAAAAACCGAGCATAATTCGTATTAAATTTCCCCTGGAATCTACAAAAGAATTAACTTCGAGTACAAACTTTAACGAACTAGTTTTTTTTTTAATCATTTTGCTTTAAAAAAAAAGTTTTTGTAGAGAACCAGACGTAAATCTCTCTCTGAGGCCGGGAAAATAAAAGAAGGGGGTGGCGATTTTATTCTTCATTTATTAAAAAAAATACATAGCCTACATAATTTCGTGTACCGGTACATGTTCTACTCAAGGGTGGATCCAGAACACAATTTTGGGGTGGGCCAAAACAAATTTTTGGTCCCCCCCAAAAAAGTTTTGGTCCCCCCAAAAAGTGGGTCAAAAAAATTACGGCGTGGGGTTCTGGGCCCGCTTAAGGGCCCCGAAAATTTTTTGGATTCTAGATACTCTGTGGTGCGATCTGAGGCAATTTCTGACCACTTTAACCACTGTTTTATTGAGGAAAAGATGGTGGTGTACTCATTGCCTGCCTTTATTGCGATGTCACATAAAAAAAAAAAAATGGTTTCGGTTTTTTTTTTGGGGGGGGGCATGGCCCCCTTTGCCCCCCCCCCCCCCCCCTGGATCCGCCCTTGGTTCTACTCTAGAATATAATTTGGAATACATTTTGACATGAAGCATTAAATGCAAGTGCTGTATTAAATGTGCCCCTAGTCCAGCCGGGAAATAAAAAAGTGTCTTATAAAAATATATTCTTGCTTTGAAAGAAATTTTGAGACAATGATTGACAGGCGACCTTCAAAACTTATACATTGTATATTTTTGTTGATAATTATGTATAATAGTTATGTTCCAAGCGATTGATTTGATGACCGCCCGTCCGCCCGCCATAATGACTCCTCAAAAAGGAAAAAGATAGCCATGTTCTCAAAGGGATGTATTTAATGCCCGCCCGCCCTAAGATGACTCGTTAAAAAAAAAAAAAAAAAAAAAAAAAACAGTTGCAAAAAGGGGGGGCACGGGCCGGGTGTGCCCCCATCTGGATCCGCGCGTGGTCAGGACATATCGTATTTCTGTATTTCGGCTCAAAACCTATGCCCGAAACTCCTTTTGGATGTGGAACAAATTGTATATTAAAGTGGAGTTGCGTTTCTCTGTGTTCCTAAAACTGAATGCATACACTAAGGGAGATTATTTTTGACAATAAGCTCACTGACAAAATGAGCAAAATGTTCTGTAGTGTTGTGACAACAGAGGGCTCTCTATACAAACGGAAAGAAAAGAGTCAGGTACCGCCATTGATGGCTGGATACGCTATACGGAAATTAGGTTACTCGTTTGTCAGCGGGACATATCATGGCAGCGCCCATTTTCCAGGTTGATCGTAAATCTGGCCGGTATTCGGATTGGAAACAGGGCGTTTATGAACTAAGTATATTCAAATTATTTATAAACGACTGGTGAGGACTGATTTCATTGGAGTTATCTGTAGGCCCTTGCAGTTTGCTGGCACAACTTTTGGCGAGTGTGTAGTTACGGTAAATACGGGCAGTTTTCGTCAGTAGACTAACGTAATGCGCCTTAGCGTTAGCCCGACTGCGTCTGGCCGTACTATCGCAAGCTCTGTAGTACGGCCAGACGCCCAATGCTTCCAAAAAGACTGATTTTTTTTGGCCGCTGATGTAGCGATTTTGCTACAGATTTCAATCGAGATTATCTTTTCATCCAGGACAAAAATTGCCAAAGTTAAGGTTCTTCTTATTCGTAGAGCAACTCATACCTTTTCGAAAAAACGTTCTTTGGTCTCAATATTTTCATCCATCTGGCCAAAAGACGACTTTCAGTCATCATGTTCCACAAATATCGTCCCTAAAATGCTCCCCATGCGATTTCAAAATGGCGGCCGCGCTGTAATGTATGCATTATGCGAGCGCGCTTGGGCAAGATAATGAATATGCATCATAGTTTATGACGTTTGTCGGACTCTCGGCGCGTCTGGCCATACAAACACGAGGTGATGATCTAAATAATATCTAACCCTTCTAGTTCTCACAACACGAGTGCAATCCCTACATAATGAAAGCCCGAAGCTGATTGGCTGCTAAAAAAAATTAATAAGACGTTTATTTTTTATCAGCCAATCAGCATTGAGCTTTTATTGCATCAAGCTATCACGTTTGCCATTTTAATTTTTTAGTCTGTTTTTTTGGTTGTCATCGTCGTCTTTTACTTCTTAATTTCCCTCATAAATCAAAGCCCTGCCCTCTTTCCACAAAATTAAACCTGCTGATATTCAAGAAGGTGTCATTGCCAATTGTTCAGATGTGTCAAGAAATATCAGAATGTCAATTTTGAGTGTCAAATAGTCAACTGTTTTGGTCTTACCCTTCCTATATAGGAACGGGGTCCTAAAAGTAAGGATTTATTTTACCAATTGTTTCGGCGATCGTGAAGTGTTTGGCCCCGTGGCCCGGTTCCTATAAGGAAACAAAATCCACTTTAAAATTATTGGACCTACCAAACTAGTTGGGGACATTCTCAATAAACAGGTATGTCATAGATAGAGGGCAGGGTTTTGATTTTTTGAGGGAAATTTGGGGGTAAAATGACGATGACAGCAAGGCGACAAGATGCGACCCGAAAAAGATGGCGATCACCGCGCAATGTACCATGAGCACGCACGGCGCGCTGAATCACAAGGCACAAACCGCGCAAATTTTTGTGATTTCTACCCCAAGAATCTGTTCAAAAATGCAAAACGGGTGTCATTAGAAATGAGAAAAGTCTGCCTTTTGATTGTAAAGGTGATTTTTGAGCAATAAAAAACATTTTTGACTCGAATTTGATCAAAACAAAACAGGGGCCCTACACTTCACAATCGCCATTGTTCCCTAGCCCGCATTTTTTTTCTCCTAATTTCATATAAAAAATGGCGCATTTTCAGGCTCAATTCTGAGGCAATTTTGTCGGTGTTTTTGATTAACAGATCTTATAATTTAACCCTTTAAAACAGTTGATAAAGTTAGTCACAAATTCACGTGGTTTTCTTTCTGAATTTAATGATTTATTTCTTTCTGTCCTTGCATCTTTGCTGTATCCCAAAAAATGTTCACTCGCCAGCCGGGCTACTAAAGGAATAGTTTGACAAGCCCACTGCTGTTTTGACCAGCATTTGGCTAGCGTGCTACCGTTAATTTCGAACCCTGTATATGTGTCTACATATCGTTCATCGTATAACCCCATTGTATTAGAAGATACACTTTTGCCTCAGAAATTGACATTCATATTGTCAGTTACATTCAATCCTTAAAACATCTTTTTTGGGGCCATTTTTAATCACTTGGACTACGAATTTTCAGGCGTGGGTGACTAATGAATTTCAATAATAGTCATGACCAATGTCAATAGTCACGACTAATTTCAATAGTTGCGACTTGTCATGGCATAACAACTGGTGGACTATTTAGAAATTGATAGTCGCGACTACCAATGTTTTTTAGTATTGGTGATTAGTCGACTAGTCGCACTAGTCGCACAGGCCTAGTTGAGTTGAGATTTTTAATCTCGGTGTTACTCTGAAGTAAAAACTTCTTAATTGTATTGTTTATATATCGATGTTTGCCCAAAATAGATTAGTGCAGTGAAAATTCATCAGTTAAGTGCTTAAGAGATCATCAGCATGGCGACAGCTCAACCTGGTGTTGATTCAGGCTTCCGGTGGGAAACCATCACCAATGCGCTGGTCAAGCGTGTCTTCACATCGATGATTACAGTCAACGGTCAGCTGTTTCTGATTGGTGGCTCAGATGCTCAGGGCAAAGGCACGGATGACTTCCACTGTTACAACCCCAAGAACAAGAAGTGGGCACGTCTGTGTAACATCCCCACAGCCAGAGCAGGGACTTGCGTGGTAGCGTTGGGCTCAACAATCTTTGTGATTGGTGGTGTGGGAGTGGATGCCGTCCCTATCGATGCAGTGGAATCCTTTGATACCAGCAATAAGAAAGGACAATGGAAGAAGGACATTAAACCCCTCGCTGACCGGATACAAGGCCTGTCTGCTGTAGCATATAGTAAGTATGTCATGTCCAATTTAGGATACATACATTTAGCAATTGTTGACTACTGTGTGGGATATGACGTTTTTAACACCGAGGGGGTGTTCAAAACGTCATATCCCACATCACAGCAGTCAACCATTGTTTTGTTATACTTCTGTGTTGGATTTTGATGTAAAAATCACGAAAACAAACAGCAGTGAGCACAACAATCATGACAATCGAACGTCAACTCACATGCATGTCACTTACCGTGCTCGAAACGGCTGATTGTCTTCTAGTTCCCTGCTCCCAGTCATGTGTGAAAACATGGTGAAAATAGCGTGGGTACCAACGATACAAGCGTTTCACACCGTATGTACGTACAAAGTCGATAGCACACTCCCTGAGGGACGGTCACAGGGAGTGTGCCATGACTTTTTATAAACTTAACACGTGAGCATTCTAGACCAATGAAAAATTGGTCTAGACAGAGGTATAATAATGACTATTATTTTTTATATCAGGCTTCCAGCGGTAAAAGTAAATCAGCGTATTTCATGCTTTCGTAAAAAAGTACCAGGATGACTACAATATCATGTCAGTAAAAGTACCCGGTTGACTGCAATAATATTATTATTGCAGTCATCCAGGAATTTTCGCTGGTTCCCGCACGATAAAGAGCATAGAAAGTCACAGTTGTTAACCATTTAACAGAGTGTAGCGCGCACGAATACCGTCGAACACGGAGCACGCTGCGCGCATGCAGCGCGAAGAAGACCAGGTATACGTGCACTGTTGTCAGTAGCAGCTTCAAATAGTTTGACGAAAAAGATGAAATGAAGACAGTTTCTTGAATTGTATTTCTTGCGGATCAAGTCAGCCTGATATAAATAATAATAATAATAATATTGGATAGCTTTTTTTCAGTGGATACAAAAATATGTATATATGAAAATATATATGACAATATTGTCATATATATTATCATATATTGTCATAGCTCTTGCAATATATTCTTGTATCCACCTCAAAGCCATCCAATATTATAGAAATGTTGACCTGGAATCTTCAAAGGTAGGCACCCAAATAGGCAGCACTGTTAGCAGTCGGAGCCGATTGGAGACCACGCCAAGTTTTGGAATATCCCAGTAACGGTCGTCAATTCAAAATAGTACATGACGCAGCAAAGTTCGCCCCTCATACGATCCGAGCGTATAAGTGATGCACAAAATCGTCGTTCAATTTCAAGTTTTGTAAACGTAAGCAATGAATATAAATTATCAACTCATTTTTTACAGTGTTAAATAAGCAAGGCAGTTAATAAAACCTATATTATACTCGGAAATATCCAGGCACTATCAAAGATTGTCGACGAAATGAAATCGGCAAACTTAGGAAATTTTCGAAAAAAGGAGGCATTCCTTCCGTTTTAGTCACATGACGTATATTTGTATTACAATGTATTACTAGCGGCTACCTGACCTAAGATTGGAAAGCAGACTACATGTAATGTGAATGAGTTTTGATATCTGATAATTATCTTTTGACTCAGATGACAAGATCTTGGTAGTAGGAGGAATGAAACCAGATACAACGCCTTGTGAGAAATGCCACGTCTTAGATCCAGACAAGAATCTCTGGCTAAGCCTACCTGATCTGCCCACACCACGCTATGCCATGGGGACGTTCCTGAAGGGGGATAAACTCTATCTAGTAGGTGAGATGACACTTTCGGCAAATCTCCCAATTCTTAACTACCAAATTTTGATATTTGCAAAAGGCAACATTTTTCAGTCGGCTTCTTTTATACAGCCAAACGCCACAAGTACTGATTCGCAAGAGCCATTTCAACAGTATTTGTACGATATTTCTTGCCGAAACCTCATATGTTCATATGGTCTGGGGTGTGCACTGGAGCGTTAATGTTAGAACAATAGGCCGTGCAAAACAGCCAATTCAAGATCAACACTCGGCCAACCTCCACAGACTTCACAGACTTTGTGTGTGCGTACAAAAGGCACGAGGGATTAGCGTGTTTAGACGTCACCCGGAGGCGTGTCGAGGCGCGCTTGACGTTAAAACCCGTCAGCCGTGCCTGTGTATAAAAACAGCCAGTGTGTGTGACCACGTCCTCCAACATGAACTGGTTAAATAGACCGATTCATGTGGACCTGCCCACTAAGAACGTGGGCAACGACACCTGCGCCTCTCAAATGTGCCATTCTGCATATTCCAGATGCATGGGTCGTAGGCAAGAACACGTCAGTCTTTAGTCGGACGTTGATCAAAGCTGTGATTGGACAACACATCATAGGATGGGGATTAATGGATCCGTCTAATGTTGACTTGCAAATGGATTCAATATGTGAACAACAGAGGGCGCTGTGTGACTTTGCTGGTTCAGACATGCTCTCCATTGCTGTTTAATAACATAGTTGACATACATCAGGTGAAGCATGTAGACAGGATGCCAGTCACGCCTTTGTTATTCTCAATAATGATGGTGGTAGAAACCAGTCTACATGTACCGGTAGATGCAGAGAGACGGGGCTACGCTGAGTGTTGAAACTGACACATCCGTTTTGCAGTCATATTCTAGTTGTGATACACGTACCGTTGTATTGTTAAAATTCAGTAGTTGAGAACTGTTCGTGCGACATATTTTAAATGTTCATGTTTGACAATGGAATGGTCTCTCCAGCACTCAACAGTTAGAAATGGACCTGGGTCCCTATAAATTTTGACTCGATCAATTCATTCAAGCTTTGGACTTCAGAATTAAAAACACCTTAAAATTCATGTTATTCTGACTTTCCCAAAAAGATTAAATTCATTACTTTAAAATTCAAAACAGTTATAAAAGTATAAAACCACGGTACATGTATAACAAAACGCATCACTGGCAAATGGACCATCCTACAGCTGACAAAAATGTAGGGGCCTAATGCAATATGTTAAAGCCCGCTGCACATGAGACCTGTCTGCTGAGCAAAAAGAATCATTTGTGGCTGTTTGAAGACGCAGCAAACGTTGACCGCACACACTGATATTTTCTGAGCTATGTGCTGACAAACGTCCACAGCCAACTTTGTACTCAGCAGATAGCTCTAATGTGTGGCAGGCTTTAGTTATGGTCGGGGATGGACAGTTACTGACCATTTACCAAATTTGTCCAAAGAAAAGTTTGTACTAAAATCCTAAATGCATGGGTCATTTCTGTCGGAGCAGTTGTAAACCTTATTTCACCCAGTGCAGTGTATACATAAATATAGTGTACTGGTCAGCACTCAGCCAAGTAGCTTGCACATTATAGGCCAGATGGCACCAGGGTGGTCCTGTATAAACCTCCTTCATATTCACAGTTGACTGGGTACAGAGACGAGGTACTAAATCCTGAAATTAACCCTAATCCTGCTAAATCAACAGAAAAGCAACAAAGGTAAACAGTTGTTGCATACTGTTGCATTTTGTTAGCAGCACACTCAAGTCCCGTGCTTTGTTGCATCTTGTTGCATTTAGCAGGGTAACTGCTCATATTGCCGAGGCAATTCAACAGAATCCACTGCTGCAGTTAGTTGCATTTAGCAGAAAAACTGCTTGGTGCCAAGGCTGGTATGCACTGGATTCACTGCACATTGCAACAGAAACCACTGTTGCAATTTGTTGCATTTAGCAGGGTTCTCATTTCAGCAGAATTGCATTTTGTTGCATTTGGCAGGGTGACCAGAGAAGGGTCTTGGGGGTAAGGGTTAATTCATATCTTGACAAAGCGTTTAACATTTGACATGTTATCAGCTTGGTGTGGATAGTAAGTCAAGTCATTTCAAGCGAGTTTTAAAATTTGAGTCAAAATGTCTTGATTGAGTCACAAATTCAGGTTAATTTTACCAAAATACATGTATGGATGAATGCTTCAAGATCATACAACTTGGAAGAAGAAATACAGCAAACAGTTACTGGGTCTACAAAGCAACAAAACAGACATTTTTTGTCATTTCAAATGCCTTTACTCATAATTTCATGGATCTTGTGGCGATAACAATAGTTCATGACAACTTGTTGATTTGTGCTTTGGCTAGGTGGACGGATTGCTAGGACTATCTGCCCGGCCGTCGAGGTGTTAGACATTGTTGAGAGGAAGTGGACCAGCCTTCAGCCTGTACCTACCAAGCGTGCCTTCCCATGTAACGTATCCACAGACGGATATATCTACTGCATTGGTGGTCTCAAACCTAATCCTAAGGATGGGTTCTACAAAGTGGTCGAGGAGTACGACATCGAGAAAGGTGATGGCCTCCCCACATAGGCTTTTAAGTATCCAGATTGATCATTCAGGACAGATCTCGAGTTATGACTAGGTGCAGGTGCCCTTGGCGATGTTGAAAAGTTTTGGCCAATTTAACCCTCACCCTGCTAAATGCAACAGAATGCACCAATGGTAAAACGTTGTTGCAAGTTGTTGCATTTACAGCAGTGTCCTGATCTGATGCATTCCACCCCTGCATTCCGTTGCATTTGGCAGGGTAGGTACTTGGTACCAAGGCTGGCACTGCACTGTGCTGCATTTGGCAGGGTGCTTAGTGAATACCCCATGGAGGTAATTCTTCTGGTGCACCAATAGGAAACCGTGCAGGATTTGTTGCTTTTGCAATGAGTAATGTTTGGTTTATTCTGTTGATCAGATGAGTGGAGGGAGATTGAGTCTATGCAATATGAGAGAGGAGACTTCACTGCTGATGTTGTGGGGGACAAAGTGGTAGTACTTGGAGGCATGGGTGAGTCTAGCTGAGAAGCTACATTATTACATATCACAGTATATCAGTAAAAATCTCCTTTTACTTTTTTGAACGTCTGGGCACAAACAGATCAACTTTGTGAGCAGACTGGTTCCTAGTCCATGCATTATTGATACTGACGGTGTGGGGGAGGGGGGGGGGGACCGGCCTTCCGCACAAGAACGGAATTGTTTTCTGGCAGCTTATAATTAAAATTAAAAGTAGTAATTCAATAATGGGCCGCAAACAAACTTGGGCGCATTCAGTACACTTGGTCTTGTGAATAGGCCACTCAGTGATATCTTCATTTCTTGCATAGAGTCCATGAATAGGCTACCAAATCTATTTCGTGTTATTATCTTCAGTGACAATGTAAATCCAGTCCTGGAACATGAAGTGAATCAAAGTGTAAGATCATTTTGACAGGTAGTAAGTGAAGGCATGCTACATTTTGGAAAAGATCATTTGTCACAGGCCTGCTTATAATTGATGTGCGATCATCTTACAAATGGTTTATAGTTGTCACTGAAGTGCTTGCAACTAGTTACCGAAAGATGCTGGTGACGTTGCTACAGATTTCAAATATTTGAAGTTTGACAGTCACTGACCTTACATTTCATCATGAGATTAATGGACTTGCATGATGTGTAAGAAATAATGAAGATGCACAAATGGCCCCCAAAACGGACAACCTTCCCATGGAAGGGTAGTCTAGGGGCTAGATGGTGTATCTGGTTTGGTACGCGATAACCCGCCACCGTGAGAGGGCGCTATCACAACCAACCAATATCGCCCACGGATTTGTCAGGAACATCATGTCAGGGAAATTTGTATTGGTTGTGTAATGCGCGCACCGTTAGGCCTAATATATGCAGCACGTAATTCAAAAAAATTATAGTAGTTCCAAAGCAAACTCTCAAATTTGTTCCAGTGCAATAAAAGATGCAGCAAGACCTTTGCGCAACTTCACTGGTCAGCTCTTTTGTTATGTGTAGTATGTGCAGGACTGAAAGTGGACTGTAATTGCCTGCAGAAGTTGTGGATGCGCTCTAGTTTCCCCCATTTTTTTTGGGGGGGGGGGGAGGAGATTTCAGCAGATTCCCTAGACGTTCTGACAAGTCTGTAGGCGATATTGGTTGGTCGTGAAAGCGCCCTCTTGCGACGGCGGGTTATCGCGGCCTCGGGTTATCACGTATCAGATCATAACAACGTCTAGCCCCTAGACTAATGGAAGGGCAGTGGTGACAAGCAAAGTTTTTACAAAACCATTCTATCAAAATCTTACAGTCAATTATTCTGATGCTGATGAGGGAGGAAATATCAGGAAATCGACATTAAACATCTGCTATTTATTGACCTAATTGTTTTACAAATGGAACATCAAACAACAACAGTCACAGCAAGAAATAGGAATATTTTGTTCAGCAGTAGTGATGCTTGATCATCACCCTTCACAGCTGAATTTACGCGGCGACTATAAACTGTCCACAAAAAAAGGCTAGGTTGCGTCCAGTGACTATCAGCATTGGTCATTATTGCACGACCGACTATAAACTGAACTTAACACACTGACATACTTGTATCTTTGCAGGTCACAGTAAGGAGCCTCATAGGATAGGTGAAGTCTTAGATCCAGAGACTAAGACATGGAGTGCCTTACCTCCTTGCCCTACTTCTAGGAGTTCTGCTGCTAGTACGATGATGGATGGTAAACTCTATATCCTAGGTGGCATGACACCGTCTGGCTTAACACTAGCTGTGGATGTACTCAGTGTTAAAGACAAAAGTACTGCACAGAATGCTAACAGACATGCTGGTAAAAGGCGCTGAGTGTTTTTTTAGATAAATACAGTTAGTCTGTACAAGGAGATTAATATATTCTTGCAGTGTGGTGATTTCTAGGCTGTTTGGTAGATCAGTACTCGCCAGTTGATAAAGACAATTTTGAAAAAGAGATCTTTCAATTGATGGTCAAAACGAGACAGAAGAACTGTGTGAGGTAACCAGCTAAGGCCGGCAGCCAAAACACATGCCCCCTCACCCCCCAAAAATCCAACATTGATGATCTGTGCAGTGGCATACTTCTTTTATTGAGGTGAATCCATATTTGCACCTTTAAACAATACCATTACTAGATTCCCAATACTAGATTTCCAATACTAGATCGTAGGTTAATTCACTGGATTTCCTGTGAACAGTTTTAGAAATGGGTGATTTTGAAAATTGAAGAGTAGTTCTAAAAATTGAAATCATGTTTTTGTTTGATTACTTTACAAAATTCTTGTGTGGAATGCTTCTGCTTGAAACTATTGAATATTTTGTTGTACTTTAACAGAACTTTAGTTTGTTTTTATACCATGAACTCGGCCATTTATTTGGTTTTCCTACATATATGTACAGTTTGCCCATTACTCCAAGCTTGCCTTTTGTGTTGAGGTTTTTGAATTGTGAAAATCCAACATTCGCTGAAGTATTAATACATAAAGAGCTAAATGTCCCATGGAGGTCCAAAAACTAAAATGTGCAAACAGTTTGTATTCCTGTCTCTAGAGGTACTTCTGGCTGAGGCTGTAATACCGAGAAATGCATTAATACTGCATGATGTGCTAGTAGCATCACTTCTTCGGTCTTCTGAGGTATCCTATGGAGGCTGCTGACGGGCGGCACAGCCAAGTCCAAGTTACCCTGGGCTTGAGAAGAATTGTGATTTTCTGGGGACTCTGCTGAAAGCTAGAAATAAGTATTTTGGCTACATACTCATGGTAGAGGACCCTTGCTGGCATATACGCCATGGGAGAAGGACTCCAGAGTGGTTTGTGAAGCCAGTGGTAGGGAGGAGCTAATGTCCTTGGGAACAAAGATGATGCCCCTTGAAAAGGGAAGAGGTTTTTCTTGTGTCTGAATGAAGAGGTCCTGGTTGCTGACTGCGTCTTGATGTGTGGCGTTGAGCTCAAGGTGCCAGCTCAAGTTGGCTGATGTTACCTAGGTTTCACGTTAGCCCAGGTGGACTCCCTTACCTCCCAACGTTACGGAGGCCAACATCATCCAATCTGGGCTAGTTTCACATTGAGCCTGATGTTTGTGGCAGAATTCCCCAAATTCCCCACAGTGCCCCCAGGGTGTGGCTTTTTGAATGTCATGACTGGAAGTTGAAGGTATTTGAAGTCATGATCATACCGTTAACTACAAACTTTCAATCATGCTTGATAGCACCTCAGTCTTTGAAGTGTCGATGGTTAGGCCAATTTGCCTGGTGGATTGGGATTGCCTGAATATCCCAACAGAATTTTTGAGGGAGTAGATGGCATACCTAATTCACTGCATACTAAGGTTGTGTTAAGCAGACCATTGGCGTGCATAGTTACCTTCTCAAGGCAGATCATACTAGGTGCACAAACAATAATTCATTGGTGTTGTCACAGCAAGTACTCAAACTCATTTAAAAAACTGGCAAATATCACTTTCCAAAAACAAGTATGGTGCTCTTATGAGTGCCATACCACTTATTTAGATGCCAATATAAGAGAATGATGACTCACTGAGACAAAATATCTTGCCAAGTTGGCTTCTTGAATCCAAGATGACGACTTGCTGGGATAAATAATCTCTCACAATGACTTGCTGGATGTTGAGATGATGGCATGTCAAGACAAATGTTAAGTGTGACATCATCACTTTGTGCGTTCTTATAATTATGTGATACGAGAAAAAGAAACAGGGAAACAGCGTATGGAAGCGATTGACATGGGATTAGTACGTATGAATTTCCATCTTTTCGCTGAAAATTCCTCCAATGTGATAATTATATCAACCTCTCATTGATTTAATGATGTTCCAGAAATGTCACTTTGCTTTGGAAGCTTTTAAACATGAATTTTTTCACGATGTAAAGTGATTTTGAGCATTTTGTGGCATTAAAAGATGACTTGGTTTCCTCAGCAGAAATACATATACATGTATGCTTAGGCATGTTGCTGAAACTGAAATTGGAACATGACCTCACGTATGAACCGTAGTCATATACATGTATATACAGATAATTAACACTTTTTCTGGATGCAATATTATCCATATTTTCTGGATGCAATGTTATCCATATTTTCTGGATGCAATGTTATCCATATTTTCTGGATGCAATATTATACAAATACAGCATGGTTTGAGGGAAAGTAGTGGGAATTACTGGTCCCGAGGTGTAGGTCAGCTTTACTGTTGGCGTCGAGAGGTAGTCAAGCTGACCTACACCGAGGGACCAGTAATTGCAACTATTTTCCAAAAACAAACCACACTGTATTTGTTTTACTACACTTCATAATTGCCTTTACCAATAACAGCCTTTGTAGATTTTGCATCTATATTCAGCACAAGATACTCAAGTTCCTCGTCAGCCAATGAATACTCTGATGCCAACAGTCTTTAATGTGTCTTTACTGCAGTAGTTACAAGGACTACAACAACAGACTGGTCCTGTAAAGATTACATGCCACAGACTTCATGTCTACGTAGTGGGTTCCACAGGGAATTTTTGATGCTACCAGAAAAAATACAGCATGCCAGCGAGCTGGGCGCGTATCATTTTTACTTCCCGGATGCACGGCGGAATCGGCCAATGACCTGCTCTGATTTGGTCATGAGGTGTAGTAATATAATATCACAACCCTTCTTTTCTGCAAAAACTCCTTTCTGACACTATGACTAAACTCCTGAGACAAATTACACCTTTGAAGGTATCAATCGATTTGCAGCCGGATTTATATTTGTAACCTGTGCACATTGCTACAGAGATCTGAGCAGCTGGCAAGTCCACAGCTGGTTATCAGCTGTGGAATCACCTATCAGCTGTGGCTATCATCTCGCGTGCAAAAAACCCCCAGAGAGTGAGTTGATTTCAAAACATTCATATTAAGTAAAACCTCGGGCAAAAATCAGCCACAATGTCTTAAAGGTATGTGGTTGAGAGGGGTTTAGATGATTATCAGTATGAAGTACAGTTATTTATTCCACCAAAAAGAAAGGGGAAATGGTTGAAACTGTTAATAACCAACAGTCATTGATTTCTGTACTGAAACGTATCAATACTACTTTAAGTGGGGAAAATGCAATAGCAATTTTGCCTACCGACAGGTTGGACAGAATTGATGATCGTTTTGCTCATGTGTACAACACATTGTTGAGATCCTTAGCATAGTTCATCTCTGGATGACAACATCTTAAGGGTCAAGTCGAGTGGCTCGTGGAGCTCCTTTCACTCCTTATATGTAATTCTTTAAGATGTAATGCTGTTACTTAATGTGTGGTCTTTTAATACAAGACATTACAGTACTTTTTAAAACATTTTTGTATTATGCATTACTACTACGTGCCTATTGTATGTAAACAGCAAGAGCAACATTCTTGTTTATGGTGCTCCACGAGTGCCATACCACTTATTTAAATACCAAGGCAATTTATGTCATGTTGAGATATTGTAGAAAGTAAGGTGAATTATCTTTCTAAGTCAACAAAATTAGGATGAGGATTTACCTCCAACAGTCGAGGTTTAATACCGAAGTTGATGTAACAATTTGATAAATATTCCCACCAAGTCAACTTATTGGTGTCGAGATGATGACTTGCCAAGATAAATTATATCGTCAAGTCCGGTGTCATATGAAAATCCGACTCCTATGAAAATCAGACTCCTTTTCCCTATTATTGATTAATCCCTCGCATGTGACCGGTCACTCTCCCATAATGATCCTAAAAGTAGTATGTTATCGTACTCACACATGCGCAGTACCACCATTGAGTCCACATTTCATGGAGTCAGACATTCACGCACACCGGCTTATTAGGCTCAGGATGACGACTTTCAAAGGAATGTAACGGCACATGTCTGGCAACAACCCGTGCGAGTTTGACAGTCCCTGGCGATGTGTTGCTGATGCACAGATTGCAAGTCGTAATCTCAGCTTCACTATGTTGACATGGCAATATTATCGATAGGGATATGTGATATGGACGGCAATAGCAAACCAGCCACAACTCTCCATTGATAATTGAGCAACAGTGTAGATTTGGTGCTCTATTTTTGTTTTCAAAACCTGGAATACACCATTCCAAGTGTTCATCAAAGTTGAAATACAAGTAAACTAAATGTTCAACTGGAATTGGTAACAGCTAAACCTTCAAATCTCATCTAACAGTTAAATTGACAACTATTTAAAGAGGTCACCCCTTTTGTATATGAAGCAGAAAGTGTTCAATGTAGAATTGTTTTTTGGAAGCAAGAAAGGCAGGAGAACTCTAACGTAAATAGTAAACATCAAGGTCAGATCAGTTAACCCCTTGTTTGTTTATTCAAGATAATTGGAGACATGTATTGAGTATGCTATGTTAATTCAAAACATAATTGAAGAGCAAACATGGTATAACGATCACGAGTCAAGATGTACCTTTTTAAAAGTGCTTTTCCCTTTGATAACCTGTTTGGGCAAAACCATGCGAAAAGGAAGCTTTGAATCAAATTCCAGAATATGATAAAACCAGAAACAAGAGTTGGAATTGGAAAAGTGATGTAAATAAATCATGAAATTAAAAACACAATCCTTTCGCCATACTATAAATGGTTATGAAAAGTGAATTACAAATAAAATGCCCAATTTGTATGCAGGAGTAAGATTCGCTAAACAAACTAACCAAAAGAAAAGAAGTCAATATTTTAATTTCTCATGAATATTTAGTTCACCGTTCATTAGTCTTATTTCAATGGATACTTTAAATACGTCCAAAGATTGATTATCGCAACAAGCGATCTTGGTGGCCTGCTGGTAAAAGTGTTGTGTTTCAAACAAGAGTTCAAGGTTTGAATCTCAATGAAGTAAGTGATGCAACATTTTGGCACTTGAAAATTAATTGAAAAAAAAAGTGGTGGCCCACACAGGCCCAGTATGGAAAACTTTCCCTAAAACTTATACCTGTAACACTGCTCTGGATTAGTATTGTAGAGATGTCAGCCCCATTATACGCTACTGGGCAGTTGTTCATGAAATGCACAACAGCATCTCACCAAAACTGAAAACACAGTTTCTAAGTGAGAGAGTGCGAGAACCTTTTACAAGAACTTGACTAGTTGACAGCTAATCTAAATGAGTTCAATAATGGTCATTGAACCAGTATAATAACTGTACAATAATTAACTCGGTGTATTTGCGCCATTTGAAAATATATTGGCTTGAAATTATATAGTGCATTGTTTTAATTCCATCTAATTAAGGCAATGATCATACTCAAAGAGTTAAAATAGTGTTTCAAACAGTACAAAAGAACTGGTACAGGTAAAATAAAAGTAGGGACTCCCCCAGTTGAATTCAACATTGACATTTTCTGCTGCAAGTGTTCGTTGCCCAAAACACTACCTACAATCATACAATGGTCAGTTTCCAATCTTGAAGACCCCATATTAAACACAGTCTTAAAATATGTAATTATTATGTAGATGTGCTGTGTATATAAATTAGTTTGCAAGAAATATAAGCTGTTATCTATATCATCTATATCTCTTTCTCTCTCACGCAAAATAGTACAATTTCTTCATATGGTACACATTTCTTCTGAATACAGTAGTACTGTCAAAAAGGAACTGTTTTGTTGTCACACTGTTGCCATCACTGTCAGATTCCCAGGCTTAATCAGCAATCAGCGTGTAGTAAAATAACACATTTGGGCACCAGCCTAGCCTGCAAGTGGCACTTTAGAGTGTCCTGATAAGTGTACACCAAAATGAGTATTACAGACACTTTTTGACTGTCCTTTTCAGAGCATGCACAATCTTTCATAGTGCAAGACAAGATTAGGTACTTGCCCCACCAAATCAGCCCAAACACTTCCTACATCCGCATGGAATACAAACCAAAGATGGCACCAGTGTGAGAAGAAACCCACCAAGTATGGTGTGTTTATAGAATTGATACTTATATGCATAGTACAAAAAATAAAGTTTCTCTGGATGTCTGTGCTGTGACTGTGCATTGTGGAAATGATATTCATGGCTCCTGAATGAAAACAAGCATGTTATTCTTGCAATTTAAAATATACATTGTAGACCACTTCAAGCATGCTATTACAGGCGATTGTGAAGTGTAGGGCCCCTGTTTTGTTTTGATCAAATTAGAGTCAAAAATGTTTTTTATTGCTCAAAAAATCACCTTTACAATCAAAAGCAGACTTTTCTCAATTCTAATGACACCCGTTTTGCAATTTTGAACAGATTCTTGGGGTAGAAATCATGATTAGTGCCTTGCGATTCAGCGTGCCGTGCGTGCTCATGGTACATTGCGCGGTGATCGCCATCTTTATTTTCGGGTCGCGTGTTGTCACCGTGCTGTCATCGTCATTTACCCCCAAATTTCCCTCAAAAAATCAAAACCCTGCCCTCTATCTATGACATACCTGTTTATTGAGAATGTCGCCAACTAGTTTGGTAGGTCCAATAATTTTAAAGTGGATTTGTTCCCTTTAGGAACCGGGCCCTACACTACACGATCGCCCTATCACGGAACACTCCCTGAGGCCCCCTTCCATGGTGAAAGCATTGTGCCAGCTATGGTACAAAGCAACTGCCCCGTGATGAATAGAAATCTGGGCCCAATTTCATGGCTCTGTTAGCGAAAAATCCCTGCTGACTGTAGCAAAGAATTCTGTACTTACGGTAAGCATATTTCACGGGTTAGCAAGGAATTTTGGCTTCTGCGCATGCGTACATCCGGTAATGTGGCACAGAATTTTTCCCTAGTGCTGTTGCACAAAATGGTGATCGTAAGCACGAAATTCTGTGGTTAGCAGGGCCATGAAATTGGGCCGTGAACAATAGCCAAAACAATTCTTTGCCATTGAAAAGGTCCCTGTGAGTGTACAGAGTGCTCCAAATGGTCTAGACATTCAACATGATCGTCTTTTTTTAGTGTCCTGAATCTTGTATTTACTCATTCCATTGAGTGTATGCGTACAAGAAGCAGTCAGATTAATTTCTCTCGTCTAATGTACAGTACATCTGGCTATCTGACACATAAAGTTTTAGAGCAAGAGAAACTGTCACTGAAGATCACTGAAAATAAAAAGTCAAATTTGTTCTGGATCTCTTTTGTTCTTTGTTCATGGACAATTCACCAAATTGTTTTTTATAAAAAAATGTAAACGTTAGTTCCTTCATGCAAAAGGAGAAGTGAGAGCAAAGTGAATGTGTAAACTTCAGCAATTGCAATTTCTTTGTGTCATTCACCATAACCCCAACACATTCCTTCCACTTTGAAAATTACATCAAGTGTGAACTGGTCTTGGTACAGGCAAGTTTGTGCTTCACAAAAATGAGCTGGCAGATGAATATTTGCCTAAATAGTATTGTGGAATGTTCTTATGATATTTACCCATGTGGGAGATGTGAAATTTGCTTTGCTTTTTGCATTGAGTACATAATAACCTTCAGTTTGAAGTGTTGTGATCCAACGACTGTAGCATCTGACTGATCTAGTGACATGTGTCATCAGAATATGTTATAAAACCAATCCTAGGAATCATAATGTGCTTGAAAACAGCAACTTTGCAAACTTGTACTTGATCTTGGGCAATTAGCAATGATCAAATCATAGCTGCAAATCGTCACGTTCTCAACATATGTTGGATGTAAACAGTGCTAACTTTGAGATGGTTATTTGTGGGAAAGCGAGGGACATGTGCCTCATTGATTGTCAGTGGTTTGCTGACACATTGTCACCACCCTTCCAGTTCACACAGGGATTATTTCCACATGATATTATTGAAGACAAGATTATTCTGACAGATATTTCTGGCCTCGCTCCCTGCGTGCTTATCTGTGATCCATTCTGAATACAGCAAAACGTTTGTATGTATACTCGGCCTCTGGCGCGAACTGGTTAAAAATATATCACTTCAGTCGACCTTTATCCCTGCAACTCAAGGTAGACAATAGGTGTATCATAGACAGGCTTTATACAACACCCCTTGCCAACTCCCATTAACAGTGATTGGCATGTCCCAGCCCAACTTTAAAAATATTTAAATGTTTTCCATAACGATTTCTTTTAAGTTTTCCAGTCAGTGTTAGTTTTCCAGCTAAGCTTTCATTCAAGTGCATAATATTGATATAGAGTGGCCTATCCCATGATTCCACGCACACACACAGACATGACATCACTGGCTAATACTGTTTGCTGATTGGCCAGCTCCCCAACCAATCACGTGTCTTCTTTGGGATCAGGCATGTTCTTCATCTCAAAGCACTCATTGCAGGGGGTGCTGGGCGTATTCAAAGACCCTGTATTAGGCACACTGTCTTGGTCCCGTAAGCTGGGGGGCTGGGACCTAGTCTCGCTAAAGTTCAGGCTTCCTTTGCTGGTAAACATCCGATAGAAGGGGCTCAAGTCCCGGGCAAGTTTCAGGATGGTGTCGTAGTTTGGTGGGGGGCTTTCGGGTGTGCGTTGCTGTCGGCATATGTGACGTTGGTAGCTTGGGTTTGAAGGAGTCAGGGTACCATCCATGGATCCATCAGGGGTAGCCACACTGGCACGGGATGAGTGATGAGTGCATTGGTGATAGCTGGGAGGAATGTAGTCATTGGGCTCCACAGAATTCAAACCTGAAGATGAAATTACAATCTTTAGTAAATTGATTACTATTGCATGTTACATACACACAACTGGCAATTGAATCAGACAAAACGTCAGTCTGGTATTCCAATCACACATCGTATCAAGGATTGATGATATTCCTTTTCTAAAAAGGGATAAAAAAATGTGTGTGTGGATAATCACTGAGATCAATAAAACTGGAGAGAAAGCTTCCCTGAAGATCAGTAATAGTGACTTGAGTCTTATTAAGGATAACACTAATCAGATCAAGGGGAACAAGTCACCTGCTAAAAAGCAAAATGACAAAATATCTTGACTAATAAAGCATTAACTTTACATCAGTTTAACAACAAAAATAGACCTGTGAGAAGTCAATTTTTCTTGAGTAGGCTAATTTTTTTTGTGTAAAAAATGTGAGGTAGTGAGAGCAGGAGACACTTCCCCACACTTTCTAGAAAAAAAATTGGGAATTCACTGAGTTTTTGAAGATGTTGAATTTAAGGAGTGCCTTTAAAGGTAGGGTAGAGAGTTGGTCACATCAATTTTTTGTTTGTTTGAAACAACAAAAGTGCTCAAAATCTAACGACGGGTGCTCAACAACTAACCTGATGAAATTTTAGCCCTGTGAAATGCTGTATATTATGAGCAAATATTGTAGGATCTCGATTTCAATTCAAAGGTACCATGTTTTGAAATGCGCCTGAAATCAGCATCTGGGACACTTTCTCATTCAGCAGCTATGCGATGTCATGCACTGAACTGACGAATAATAGCAACCACACATGTGCGTGTGCTTCGCGTCAACACTTTTGCGCACCCATGCACGGATTTGCCGAATAAGAAACCAACTACTATCGGAAATTTCCAAAAATGCATCACTTGACGCATCTTCAGAAATGGCCTTCTTTTGTTGCTTTCTTCAAAATGACAGCACGCCAAAAAGTATAATTTCACAGACAGTTTATTGCCTTCTGTATCTTTAAACCAAGTAAGCTTTTTAACAATAATTTTGCCATCTACTTTTTGGATAGCTGCAAATGATCTACTCTACCTTTAAACACTTGGAGAGTTCAACCAGGAATACTACTGATTCCAAATCAGAAATCTCTTCCCACTTTGAACAGCCTTAGAAACATCAATTATGCATGGAACAAGGTTTGGTTCTACCGGGAATAAGCCTTGTTCCTGAAGAGTCAGTCTGAAAGGAATGCTGCAAGTTTTGAGACGCTTGTAAGCCTGCATACAACACTGCATGAATTTTAATTAATTCTCAGAATGTAGATTTTGTTCAGTTTTAACATGGTTTCATGAGCTAGGTCTCCAAGGGCGTCAATCACTTTTTTAAAGTGGGGGTCATACCTTGATCAGAACTTATGTGAGCGTGCAGTGCATAGCCCTAACGGCGTGAGGTTCGGGACCCGCTTAAGGGCCCCAAACATTTTTGGATTCTGGACGCTCTGTGGTGCAATTTGAGGCAATTTCTGACCACTTTAACAATTTTTTTTGAGGAAAATAACCCATCATTTAAACATCATTTTCGAGTTTGGAGTCATTAAACCAGCTATTCTGAGCTACAGAATCATGTGATGGCTACAATCTTTATTCGGGGATAGAAAAAGTGGGGGAGGCGGCCAAACGATATATACCGCCCACTTTAAAAAGTGGGGGGGGGGGGGGGGGCCTGCCCCCCACCGAATGACAACCATGTAGGCCTCACCGATATTAACAGCCTCCACACTGTACACATCCCTACTGAGTGCTGGTCTGTACTGTCCATCAGGTCCCTCACGTTGTTGTTTGAGATACTGCAAGATAACGCACAGACAGAGACCGACACCAAAGAGTACCAGCAAGACAGCCACCACAGCTGCACCCATTGCAATGCCATACTCAGTGGAAGATGCACCTCCTGCATGCAATATACAACACAGATGAAACCAGAAAATGCCTGAATACAAAAAAATGATATACTAATGATATACTCTCTTCATATTGCAAAATGGTTCATGTTCAATCAATCATATTATTAGCTCATAAAATCTTCTTGCATACAATGTTTGAATTATAAACAAACTGCACGCCAAGATTTTGTCTTGTGTGAAAAGGCCTGCAGTTTGTTTGTCCGACGCCAGGATTGCAAGTTTAAAATGTAATCAAAAACTTGTGTTTATTAACCGGTGGCACCGGGCGATGCACGGGTGAAAAGAAGCCACGATTCACACTTGAAATTCTCACCCCCCGAGCCACCCCCAAGATTGCTCTTTCTCTGGGGCGAGTTCATCCCTGCTCGGGATCAGGGTTGAATATTTTAAACCCGGGGAGAGATACTTTCCCTGGGGTGAGAACTGTTGTGTGAAGCATCAAGCCACGAGCATCTAGCAAGGTGGTAAGGAAATGAACAGTTTCCGTTCTCTATTTTTGGTCTGACGCCAGGATTGCGAGTTTAAAATTGAATAAAAAAAATATGTTTGCTAAAGGAAGGTGAGACTTATTAAAATGTTTTCTTTTAGGAGGGATCATCGAAAGTGGCATTTTTTTTTGGTCGCAGATCCGTAATCCAAGTTACTAAAAAAATTGGCCTAAAATAACAATGTACACAATTTAGGATGGCTGTTATGCATAAGATTGCCAGAGTCAAATCACGAGTCGGGTCAATAGTTATATGAAGAGGATACAACTTACAAGGGATAAGTGATGACAAAGGAATGCCTTTGTCACATATCTATCATTTTTAACACCTTGTTTGTTCAAAAATAGGTTATTCATGAAGGACAGAGGTCTAAAGAGAAAAAAATGCTCAAGCTTACTCAGGTGGAACTCAACCCATGTGCAATTTCTTCTCGCTTGCCCTTGCAGAGTACTGAGTACAGGACGAGTATGAAATTACATAGGTGAAGGGCAAAGCCCAATATTGAATTTACGCCTCTCTGACGTCTCTATGACTCCGTGCTTGTTAGTTACTTGACTTGAGACTGGTAAGTGGAGGATTTGTTACAACTTGTGAGGACCTGAATCCATCTGAGTACAACCTTCCTTGCTGTTGAACTCACCGTGCACCAGACTGTTGTTCTGACTGCAGTCGTAATCCCCATAGCCAGGCAAACAGTTGCAGACAAAGCCAAATCCTGAGCTGGTAGGTGTGCATGTTCCTCCATTCTTACAGTTACATCGAGAAATAACTGCACTCACATGCTTGCCTGTTGACACAGAAAAGTCACAGTTATACTAATCAGACAGGATCAGAATCAACATGGAGAGTAGAATCATAACAGGAATCAACTAGTTTTCCCCTAAGCACACAAAGTTTGCTATATTGCAATTTAAAATCCAATATTGAGATTCAATTTGAAGACTGTAAGAAGAATTCAAAATGCTACTTATATTATCAATGATACATTTAAATTGTAGAAAACCCATATAAGCACATTGGGATGTGCAACTAGCCACTAACAAGGGTTTTCTGGATTCTTGCACTGATGAAGTAGCCAGGCCTACCATGTAACTTACCATTCCATCCAAAAGATGTGATTCCAAATGATGAAAACAGAAGGCCTATCATACCTCAGGGATAAGTACGTATTCCAGAACATGAAACTAAAAGTAATATGTGCTGTAACTCCTCTATAGTTAATGTTGCTTAATTTTGATGATATGCCTTGCTCTTCCAGTTGAACTTATGTCTGGTCGGACCTGAAAACCATCTATGTACAGGCTTGTCCTGCATAACAACTATTCACAGGCACAATCTTGGGAGCTCTGTTTCAGGATCATGCCACAATCAGACGTGGCTGATCAACTGATTTTGTTTAACTTGTTTGACTATTAAAATACTCACGTCTCCCGATGTACTGGCACCGCTCACCGGTGAAATCGTCTGGGCACAGGCAGATAAGGTAGTTTTCTCGCACCATGCACGTGCCTCCATTCTCACAGGTGCAATCGGCAGAGTCTAATTAAAAAACAAAAGGGAATTAATCAGTTAACGTGAGCGCTGTGAGGGGTATCAATTACCAGACAAAAGATGGCAGCAGATTACGGATTCATGGTGCCAAGCTCCGGTCCATACCTCCAAGGCATGATGAGGAGATTACCAATCTTGCTTTTTGGCAGAAAAGAAATGCATTGAAATGAGATAAGAAGCTAGAAATGAGGCCAGCTGCAGCTCTACAGAAAGGCAGAGATTGCCTCCGGTGATCAGCAACTATCAGCGAGGTAAGAAGTCAGATCTCGGGAGATTTCCTTGCAATTCTGTGTCTGCATGGATATTAGAAACTACAGTGAGGAAGTCATAAGTGCACATACAATACAAATAAAGCTTAGACAGATGTTAATTCTCCAAATCTGATTGCAACTAAATCTCTGAGGAAATGATGATTTTGTAAAGGGAAAGAGAGCTGTAATATTGTTCGAGAATCACTAAGGAACGAGCACATCTCTGGATCCATCTACAGGGCGAGTCAAAATAAAGGCAAAACCTAAAATGTCGGGACCATTGTTTTAGTGAAGTTCTGCATGTAACACTTTCAAAATCTAGGCTTTCTTTTAGTATGAGAATCATTCAAATCACTTACGTACTTTGAAAGTTACAAAATTTTAAACTCAACCACCTTTTTAAAGTTCTGTCCACGGATTACAAGAAGGTAAGTGTTCTTTCAGAAAAACGAAAACAAGTCACATAGGGATGTGTGTGAATTGTGTTTGTTTTGCTGAAAGAATGCACACCTTTTTCTTGGATCCGTGGGAAAAACTTTAAAACAGTGGTTGTGTTTAAAATTCCGTAACTTTAAAAGTACATGAGTGATTTGAATGATTCTTGTACTTAAAGGGAATATATATCATTTGCTTTTGCTGTAATTTTCAGAAATGGATGGAATTGGGGGGTTGGAAATATAAAGCAAATATAGTTACACTGACTTTTTGGAGGTTTTGGGTTCGAAAATGCTATAAAAACCAAGAAAAACGATCATTTTCCTGTAGTCTGGTTCCCTGACTCCATATAAGAAGAAACAGAGCAGTTTACATACATTGGGGAATTGTAAGGTCAGGGAACCAGTCTAGCTGGCTCGTAACCGTTCATAGGTTTGTAATCGATTGCAAACAAGTGCAATGGTCAATTGGGGCCAGTATTTGAAAAAAAGCCAGTTGTTTCCAACGCTGATCGGCCGATCAGCGTTGGAAATTGATACAAAAATACCACTTTTCTTGAAAATGACAGTATACCAGGTGCCATAATTTTACAGGATGCTTTAGACTGTCATTTACCAACATCCTGTTAAGGTATTTCGCAAAAACTTGGTAGTTTTATTTTTCGATGTTTGCAAATGTTGTATATTCCCTTTAAAGAAAGAAAAACCCTGCATAAGCCTACTTCATTTTTTTTTGCCCTGTATAAAAAATTGTCAAAGAGACAAGTACCTGACACTCACCTGCTACACATGTCTTTTTTTGGTGGTTTCTAAGTTACAATTGAAAACATAGTCCAATTGAGTCCCCCCCCCAGCGTATGTGCCTGAGTTTTTACGTGGACCTGCTCTATTCCTACCAGTGCTGAATTTTACCTTTGTAGAGCACCTGATCTGTGTATTAGTTGTGCTGGTTTTTTTCTGGTGTGAAACGGGTTTGTTAAAATCTTGTTTTGGAGAGTGTAAAAAGCTGTCTGTGATGTTGCATGGCAGGATATGTGTGGCATAGTGTACTTGGCATAAAAGTTGCACTTTTAACATCTAGATGACACCTTTTGCCGGCAACATTCTCCCTTTGATAGAAGGTTGCTTTTCAGCACCTGATAGCCAATGGTGTTTCATTATTCCATCATCCTTTTTATAATAAAAGCCTTGCACTTCTAACATGTAAACACCTTTCAGGTTTGATAAACTTCTTGTCTATTCATGTGATAAAGGCCTTTGACAGGCTTACCAACAACGAATGTAAACTAAAAACACCTCTACCTTTATTCAAATAAACAAGTATGCAGCTATGAAAACTCCAAACTTTGTATCCCGCCTTCAGAAACCATAATTATTAACTGTGGCTTCAAGAAATTTTTAGTACTGTGAATAAACAACAAATAAAGCTCATGGTAAAAAAGAAAAAGGAAAAAAACAAGCCCCTACAATTTTTCTTCCTTTGAATGTGTGTTTAAGTGTCATGTGTAACCACAAATGGTGATTAGTGGAAATTTATCATTAACCTAACATTTGCAGATTCCTAGAGCGCCTTGGCTACAAAGCAACAGTGAAGGGCTTGTCAATATGTATGCACTTAATAACATGGTGTAGCAGAGTGAAAACACTCCGCTCATAAGGAAGGTTGTACTTTGTAAGTGTAATTTACTTATGCCTTAATGTGTTCTAGCGGTTCAAGTGACATTCAAGAGACACTGTGTACACATGTACCTCTACAAATCTATTACAAGTTTTTGAAAAATAGGAGAAGTGCTTTACAAATTCTAATGTTCATACATGTATGCTCTTTAGCCCTTCAAAAATAATTAATCTTCATTTACAGGCTTTCAAGCAGACCAGGTAAAAAGGTAGAACAGCAGGATCAACATTAAAAAAAAGCTGGACAAAAGTAGGACAAAATAAGGATAAAAAAATTAGGACTTGTCGTCGCAGTGCTGACATACCGAGGGGGGGGGGGGGGGGAAGGTGGGCTCTGAATCTCAAAATTCAGAGAAGAATTAAGAATTTTGGCATGAATACTTGAAAGAACAACCTTTAAAACCACAAAAACGACAAAATCTCAAAATTGGCGATTCGCCGATTTGTCAGCTCTGTGACGTTGTGTGTAACACTGTTATCAAAAATATTAGATGAGATTTCATTTTTCGGAGTTGTGGGACAAACATTAGGATAAAATATAGGAGTAAGGTAACAAAAACATGGAAAAAGTGGGAATACTTGAAAGCCTGCATTTACACTGACATGAACATCATCATTAAGTTTAGTTTTTTGTAACTTCTTCCTAAACTTTTTCAAAAACGTTAACATTTAAAACATTCTTTCAAGAACCAAGAGTCCAACAGAGGTTCAAAACATAGCAAAACGAAAGTCCACTACATTACCTTTTTAATGTTTATTACCTCTATATGTTAGTTTTTGGTCTTCCCAAGAAATGTACAAAATGACAAATACCTAACACAACTCATTTATTTGTATTCAAAACACAGGAATCTATTGAACATGTCCAGAAGCTTTCTTCAGCTGCTGCTGTCTTTTTGAAATTAAGACTGATGTTGAAAAATGAAAATCTAATTTTGCCTCACAGGCAGCTAGTCATAAAGCCAAAAGAAGAAGAAAAAAAAAAGATGAAAAAAAAAAGATTTCAAAGAAAAGCTTTCATTTTCATCTATTCTTAATGCAAAGACATCTTGATAAGATGATTGCTCCAATGTACATGTATCATCAAGATTCTTATCCATCCCTTTCTTCAAGAACCAATGTAAGTGTTTCTAACAATGATGGAGCACGCATCACTTCCCCCAGCTGCCGGTGTGAAACTACAGTGTCACTGACTGACACACTCCTACAAAACTCAATTGATTATGGTCCGACAAATACTACATGTAACACTCTCATTCCCAACTGAAAGCCAGTGGGATCCAGACAAAATTCTAATACAGCTCATGTCAACAAGATTCACTCATCTACACAATCCCCTTGTGTTTACTGCATGGCTTCCTTTTATATCCCTTATTCGAAACATCGACCAGCGATCTTTTTCGTCAGGAGAAACGGACACATTAATTTCTTTCTTTCTAGCTCTACAGATAGCATCTTTCCTCTAGGGGATATGTCTTTCTTGTAGATACTGTGATTTTGCCTATGTAGATTTAACCGTGGAGATTTGTCAGTCTTCAGGCAGAGATAATTTGGGCTTTATTTATCATGGTGCTGACAGGAATGGAATTGATATATGCCCCTGGTTATAGGCAAGAACAGTACAACAGGCACTTACAGGGGTTTGAATTTGATTTGTAAGTGCCCAGGGGACAGAGACAAGTTGATGTATTCTATCAACATTTCATAACATGTACAATATGGAGATTCTCATTGGAATGTTTGTGACACCATGGAGAACCCCTGAATGCTGCAATCAAACAAAAAATGAAATGATACTAAAAAAAAAAAAAAAAATACTTGGATATTTATCTCCATTTTCAAATTTGTTATAAAGATATTGACAGTGTCCTGGTACCTATGATCACTGTAACAACATATTTCGTCACCGACACCACGAAGTAACACTCCACGTGTTTAACCATATTTTTTTTCGATTTTCAGTTTTGTACATATTTAAACATTATTCATCAAGGCCTACCATTGCACAAAGTTTCAAAGCTTCAAGAGCTTTACTTTAATAATTACGCTAATTATCCATGGCAACTTTTGCGCGAAAGTGACAATTTTCGTTTTCATGAAGTAACACTCAAGTTCCATTTACCATTGTAATGTATGGCGTGCACTCTGCTCAAATGCGAGCAAAAACGTTTTCACGAAGTAACACTCTTCTTGTTTGAGCGCGCGCGCGCTGACCTCCGTTTCCACGAAGTAACACTCTTCTAGTGTTGTAATACATTGAAGCGTGCTACTTCGTGAAAATGAAAATTTACAGTTTCGCAGCTTTTTTGGTTTCACGAACTAGCACTCATCTTTTTTCTCTTATTTCTTGTTGTTTTAATACACAAACGGGTCAAAAACAGCAAATTTAATGACATCAATACATCAGGTGTCCACAACGAGAAACCCAAAGTGTTGTTCTAGAAGGCGTTCAACTTTAGATGCCGTTTTCTCCGATTGCTAGTTTTTACCGGTATGTACATGAGTGTTACTTTGTGGTGTCGGTGACGATTTGTTAGAATTCCATAAACATGTAATGTATATTAAGCATATATATATGCAACACACTTTACTTAGTTTTCACATACAATGAAGTCTGCACTATCCA